CTCCTTATTTCTCTCAATCGCCAGCCTGGCCCGAGTCAGGTCTAAGAGCCCAAAGGACATGAGCCATGCGGCTCGCCTAACACTGTGCCCTAGCGCCGCAATCCTCGACCCCAGCTGCACAAGCTGCCCTTGGCTCAAGCCAAGCCAAGCTGCCCAAGCAGTGGTCCCTGCCACGACGACTCCTCAGCTCATGCCGAGCTAGCTCTTGGCCCCTGCCAGCCGACGTGCCGCACCACCCCGACGGCTACCCCGCAATAGCACTATCCAAGAATAAGGCAAGAAAAATTAAATTTTTCTTACATTGGTGCGGCACGAAGAAGACGAAGAAAGCAACGAAAGATGGTCATTTGCACGGGCAAGATGTAGAAGATTGCTAGAGGAGGGGGAACAAATATCCTCTAAGCTATCTCTCTCTTGTAGGGTAGAATAAATCGCTCTCCAAAGTTGATTTAATAACCCACTTAAGGTGGACTTAAATAGGCTTTGAGAGAAATTTATTTCCCTTTCCTAGAAGGATCTAATTTTCTATTAAAGAGAGAATCTACATCAAAATAGGAAGCAGTCCTAAGTTTCCTAAAGCAAGAAGATCTCTACACCTGCTGCCCTTTTCTGCAAGCAGCCCAACAGGTGTGGGGGCATTTGTGGAGCCAAAAATATTCACAGGGCGACACGTGGATTTTTGGACAAAAATGACAAAAATACCCTTGCAGTACAACGAGGTTCCTACGCGCAAGCAGCGGGCAACCCTCTTTCAACCAAGACAGAAGTGCCCAAAATAGGTAACAATTCAAAGTCCATCTCATCAAATCCTTTCTACAAGGTAATTCCCAAACACATTCCTTTTAAATTATGTTAATTGGCTAATTAATGGGTTTATTGCCTAATTAACCCATTAATTGTCAATTAAACCATTCATTATATCCAAATAACTACAAAATACATCCAATTCAACCCTAAAACACCACATGGCCGGCTATCCCCATTTCAAAACCTAATCCATCACTTTTTTCTACCCTTTTCACCATTTCTTCCTTTTTATTACCCAATAAATTCAAAAACCACCAAAACATTCATCTTATGTTTAATAGCCAAATAAATTGGCTAATTAAACCTAAATTAAACCTAAAAACCCTAGCCACCTCCTATCCCTATAAATATACTCCCATTCTCACCAAAAAGCTAATTCCAACACTTTGGCAAAAATCTCAAAATTCTCTAAACACTCTTTCTCTCTAAATTCTAACTTTGGCATCGGAGGTTCTTCGGCCAAAGCCCCCCATTCATCGTGGGCGCGTGAGGCTCTTGGCCTTAACCTAAGGTGTTAATTGTTTTGTAGGTGTAAAATCGTCCAAGATCGAGGAGGAAGAAATTTGCATCCACACTTGCTCTACAGAAACACACACAACAACAAAAACAAAAAAAATACCCCATAAACAACATTATGCAGAATATAAAAGAAAAGGACAGAAACTATAGAATTTCCATATCAAATGAGATTTATGAACTACCAACCATACACCAAATTTTACATTTAGCACCACCACCAATAACCGATAAAACCATCCAAACAAAAAGAAGAAAATAGTGGGATACATTGTTCTACACAGAGAAGTACAGAAATAATGAAGCAACCAAGTTTTTTCCTTTGAAATTTTATAATTCTGGGGAGTTTATGATATATTATGAGGTTGGTTTTGAACAAAACACATTAAACTGCCATAAAAATGGTGAATTTTAAGTGGGAAAAGGATAAAAGGAATCTCTTTGTGATTGTGCTGGTCTACTGCAAACTGGGCGAGTGTGATGATCCAGTCATCCTTGTGGGCACCCATGTAAATGCTAGTGCCACCACATGGCGGTGGTGCAGAAGAAGATGGTGATCCATGAAGGAGCGAGCAAGTGCGGAGCAGAGTATCGTGATCGAATGGTGCCCAGAAGTCGTTGTTGGGCTTCAGCATCAGGTGAGTATGGTTGGTTAACAGTCGCGAAGAGGTAACGCAGAGCCATATAAAGTAGCTACCGTGCAGATTCGGAGGTTTGCCGATGTTGAAGGACAATACTTTGAAGAAAGGAAGACTCGTGAAGTTAGAAGGACAATGCTTTGATGAAGTTCCGAATTTGGAGTTGCCCACTTTTTCCAATAAAACAAGCCATATAAATCTCCAAAGAAAGGAACTACCGTGCAAAATGGTGGTGTTGCCTATATATGGTTAATGATTTTAGGAGGTTGGGAGGTTTTGTCCCAACTCCAAGTCACACACAATGTCTGCCAATATCAAACTTGTCAATAACATAGGTCTGTTAATATCGAACTTGTCATTAACATAGATGTGCTAATATCGAACTTGACATCAACGTGATTTGGTCTTAAAACATATCGAAAAATACAATTAGGTCGGAGATGTTTTGGTATATTTATTAAAGATTATAAACTAAATATTTAATTTCGACAAATAAAATAGACAATATTTTATTGAAAGAAAATTTAGAGAGCGGAAGTAGAAAAGTTGAAGTTTTGAAGAAAATCTAAAATGGTAAAACCAAAAGCGAAACAAAGCCTAAAATGGTGAGAAGTGCAAAGTTGAAGCTTGAAGAAAACAAGCGGCTAACACTCAAATCAAGGTATGACCAACCTATGATAAGTGCCTTGTAAAAATCTTGTCAGCTTAGCAAAACCCCGATCGGACAAGCAACTCATGAATTAAGGGAAAAAATTACATCAAGGTCAACTAGGTATCTACTAGATACTCACCCTGAGTTTAACAAAACTTCTTAATTAGACTGCAAGCGGCGTAATTCAGGCAGTATACGCATTCTAATTCCTCGAACAAGCTTTAGAAAACTGGATTTCGGTAATGACTTGGTGAAGAGATCATCGAGGTTGTCATGGGAACAAATTCACTTTATGTCGATCTTCTAATGCTCTTGTTGTTGATGAGAGAAGAAGAACTTGGACGCAATGTAGTTTGTATGGTCTCCCTTGATGTATCATTTTCGAATATGGTCTATACAGGAGAATTTATCCTCAAATATCGTTGTTGGGAATGTTCGAATTATATCCTAGAAGCCAATTTATGTAATATTAAAAATTATGTAATAACTTTATATTAGTTAATTAACAAAAGGGCAAGCTTTATTCATTTATGCTCTCAACTTGTACAACAAAAAAAAGGGATTATATTATGCTATATAACAACATGGATCTCAATTGAGTCAAAGAATCTATAACCACATACTAGAATAGTATGATTCAAAAGAGCCAATACCGGATCCAGATAACCCACCCATATGGGTTTAAAACTTGGGCTGGGTTTGATTGGATTCAAGTTCAACCTTTGAAGAATTTCCTTGGGAACAAATGTATGACATGTTTATTTAACAAAAGTGAGAAAATTAAGGAATCGGAGAAACTTAGGATTACTGGTTGATCTGGTTTTTTATGTTTAGATATTAGATTAAGGATTTTAGAAAGAAAAAAAATTTATTTTTCATATGAATATTAAAATCATTTAAATACTCATATTTTAATAAAATAATTCAAATGATTCTACTTCTTATTCTTGGTGACTTGGGAGAAGAGAAACCAAATCTTGAAAACTAATGAATAAAGATACATAGATGATCTCTTTCTTAACATACAAAAGTAAATCCTCCTTTCCAACCTTCGTTCATAGTTTTCTACCTCAATGCAATGTTAACCATACTAGTGGTTTGTTTGGAAAATCCTTTTGAATGACTGAAAGCACCAATTATATACTTTTTGCATGAAACACTTCAAGTGTTTTTTTATGATTACCTTGCATTTTTATTAAGGATTGATTTTAAAAACATTTTCTCCAAAAGCATTTTAAGTCATTTAAAAGTACTTCTCAAATAAACCCTAGATCTAAGAAGTTATAACAAACTTCCCCATGCCCAAAAATAAACCATATAGATCGCTCTTCCATTCTAAACAAATTGAAAAGGTCCATATCCTAATACTAGAAATAGTACTAACCATATTCAAGTGCCCTACCATTTTGGCCACCCTAAAGAAAATCATGCAAACCCTAACCCCAGGCTATGTTAACTTCCACCACACACAATCTTCGACTTCAAGTAACCATTTAATTTGTGATAAGGTTTTGGTAAATTTGGTTGGTGATAGTATTCAAATGCGCATTAAACATGCTAAAAATAAGGAGTAAATATATTGAAGAAAAAGAAAGAGGATGGTGGGAATTATTCTAAACTGATTAAATGCCAAATTAAATACCAAGAAGCTAGTGTTACGGCACCCATATCGCTTTATCTCTCTCCTCCCCAACCCCGTATTATTTTTTTAAAGTGTGATTTTTTATAGAATCTCTGTTACGTTACAATTAACATTAATTAATATGTTAACATTATAAAATATTGTATAAAAAATATAAGGTATCAAAAATCTTAAACGCTTAAACATGAGATAAGAAAGATATTCACTTTAATAGTCTCTTTAGCATTCATCTTTTTGTTTATTTTCCTTATTCTTATCCTTTGGTTTTTTTTTATTTAACACATTAGAGATGGTGCCGTTTCAACCGGAAAGTCAATAGGACACGTTTTGCCAATCCCATGACACCTTCTTTCACCCACTTTCTTAATTAACAACATTTTATATTTTAAATTTATTTTATTTGTTAATTAACATGCGAACTTTTCATTTTTCTTAAGCTAATTTTTCATTTTTCTCCTTTTGTTTATATGGTTTATTGATTTGAGCACTCATGATCCACCCTTTATTTTGGAGAATACAGAAGACTACTTCCTAATAAACTCTAGCATAATACCAACACTACCCTTCAAATTTTGGCATGTATCAAAGCTACATGAGGACAGAGTTGTCACTTAGCAAGTTTTATAGTTTACTATTAGAGGGTTGTTTGAAATTGTCACCACCCAAATGAAAGAAAATACCCACAAAAAAAAAGGATTTTGAAAGGGAAAAATAATAATAACCTCCCTTTGGTTGGTTATAAATTATAATACCCAAATAAGCTTTTCATCCTTAATGTCAGTCATTTCATTTTTTGCATGCTCAAATTCTCCCCCTTCTCCTTCAACTGTTGGTAAGTTTTTATTTCATATGTTTTTCTTTCATTTATTTATGTGAAAAAATGGTGTATGTTTTTAATGTCTGTCATTTCTTCATCTGGGTTGTTTGCATTGTATACTCCTCAAACATATATTATTCTGATCCCCCATTAATCCTCCAAAGGATTATAAAGCATAGACCACACAGAAAAAAATAATTAAAATACTAGGTAATTAATGGTTTTCATATTTATCTTACTGTGTCATCCAGGAAAGTGGAACAAAGATTTGAATTGGGTTATTGGAGACTGGAGATTGGGGATAATCATTTTTTTAATTGATGGGCACACTTGGGCACTTCTCAAATCCAAAACCCGACATGGTATTGGTATTGGGGTATTTTCTAAATCTTCCATTTTTCTTTTGAAATGCGTGAGAAATTGCAGAAAGGTGATGGAAAAATACATCGGGCATTGTAAATGCAGATAGCCATTTGATGTGGATATCATGCAAATCTTTGGAATGTCAGGCAAGGCAATATAGGCTGTAACAGCCTAATAGGCTTGTCAGCCTGGTTTTAGAGAGAGAGAGAGAGAGAGAGAGAGAGTTTTGTTTGTGTCATCTGAGTCTTTATTGCCATAGCCTAAAAAGGGTTTCTGCTTTTTAGCCTGTGTATGTTTGAAAGGTCTGAGCATTTTTTTATGTTGCTTGCATCTTCCTCCCTCCTTGGTACTCTCATGCTGGAATTTATGGCTGTGACAGCTTTGTTTATGTCTTGGGCTTTGAGCCATCTCTCCATTTCTATTCTATATTCTGAGTAAACTGTTAATATAACCTCTTAATTTAATAGTATAATATATCTTGTTAATCTCAGTACATATCGTTTAAGTGATTGATTTGAAAAGTTACCATCAAAGTGTTCATTAAGTTTTTTGTTTACTTGAGTCATATTATAGGTAAATTAATTTAGTAGATCAAGTTAACAAATTATATAAAGGTCGTACCTAGTGCATAAAGTTTCCGCTTTACGCAGGGTCTGAAAAAGGTGAATGTCGGCTAACCTTACCCCCATTTATGGAGAGGCTGCTCCCAAGTCTCGAACCCGAGACCTACCACTCATGGACGAAGACACTTGTCATCGCACCAAGTTTACAAATTATATAATGCGTAAAAAACTAAGTTCGGATGAGACTTCAAACGTTCTCTGTCTGTCATTTTAGTTTCTCTGCTGCAATCAGGACATGCATATTTTTTTTCTCTTGGGTTTCTTTTGTTTTTAACTTTTAGTAAAAGAAAAAGAACTTCTGCTTTTTTCACATTTCCCTTCGGTTTTGTCTTATTCCTGTGCACTTTTGGCATTTCACTCATTTGTCTGGGAGTCTCTTCGGCCATATTCATGATGTGTTCCATGATTTCCTTCCTGCATTTTTCATGCAGATAGTTTCCACCTACAACTATTGCTCATTGGTTCATCTTCAACTCACTCTTCTCTTTTCTCAGTTAACTTTTTCAACATACATAAACTTTTCATTAAAAATTATAATTAGCATTACAAAATAATTATTTTGCACTTGTTTTTTATGTTATTTTTTCGCTAAATAATAGTGTATGTTTTGCAGCGTCAATGACAGTTCCCTTGTGTTTTCGATTTTACTCACTTGTATTTATGATGCTATAATATGCAGTGAAGAACAAGTAAAGAGTGGTGTGTGGGTGGTTAATGGTCGAACAAGGAAGGGGGATTTGGATGTGGAAATGGCATCACCATCTTGTGCCACTTCAAGCAAGAGCCCACTTCCCATGAAAGACACGACTTCCTCCTCTCAGTCTCACTTGATTAAGTACCCAGCACCACTTGCTAAACTTGAGGAAGTTGCATCCAACCCTAAGCTCTTCATGTCTACTTTGGAAAAGCTCCATGCTTCCATGGGAACCAAGTTTATGTATGTATGATTTTATCTTTTGAATTTTTTATCCTCTCCCTTCAACTTGTCATTTTTTTTTTTGTTTTGCTAATTCCAATTAATATGTAAAGTTTAAGGATCAAGATCTCATCTTTTCTCAAAATCGCTATTGATCAAGTAATTGGATTTTTTGGTAATGTGAGCATGCTTCCATCTTGCAAACTTGAAGGTTAAACGAAAAGTTTTCCTAACTGCTCACTGAAAAGTAACTTTATCCAACTCTTAGATATGGTACTACTCTTGTCTTTCAGAAATTCTCTACATGCATGTTCATGGTGACACTGGTTTTAGGGCATAATTTTGCTTATCATGATTCCTTGAAATAATTCATTCTTCATGTACTAGCCAATTTTATGATTACTCACGCGGTATAGGATGTCGGATATGGCACACATCTGCGCCAATTTTGTGGTTTGTCATCGATGTTTTCTATATACAGCGCTTTTCTTACCCAAGAATTGTGCTGCATGAGCATAATGTGAAGATGACTGTATGGAAGTGGTTCAGAATACATTCTATTCCACTGGACAGTTCAAGCTCTTTCGCAATTTTATGATAACAGTTAAAAACTTAATAGTCATCCGCTCAGGAGTTCATTTTTGGCAAGCATCAATTCAGTTTCGGCATGGAAAAACCCCGGTTTTCTTATTTGCATTTAGAACTCTGGAGGCTCATCACTACCCTTTAGTGTGGTTTTCATGGAGAGGATGAGTAGGGTTTAGTTTTAGGCAAGGCTGACTTGCATTGGACTCTGTTTGTCTTGTAGATTTGTAGTAGCTTCGTGTTGTCGATTTTCTACTGTAACTGCCTTATAATTCTGTAGTACCTGTCCTGGTGCTGACATTTTCTGTGTTGTGATTGTAGGATCCCTATTATAGGAGGAAAAGAGCTAGACTTGCATAAGCTCTTCGTGGAGGTAACTTCCCGTGGCGGTCTTGAGAAGGTAAGAAAAAACTACGTTTAACTAATCTGGTAAATCATTGAAGGATCAAGGTTCTGTTTTATGATTTATCGGGTACTTGTGTGAATTTTAAGCTTGTTTTGGTTTTCAACTATTTTTCTTATAAAATAATTTGGCCGTAGTGAAATAGTGTGCATTTTGGGCCTCTTTGGAATTGATTCTGGGAGGGCTAGAAGCACATGAGAGGTGCTTCCCCATACCTGTCGCATGAAATCACTTTAAGTGATTTATTCAGTAGTTGTATGGAGAAGCAGCTCTCATTTGCTTCTTCGAAGAAGTAATTCTGGCCCTCCCAAATCACTTCCATACGAGGCCCTTAATATATGTTTATCTGTATGCGGTTGTTTGTTGATCTTTTTTTGTATCTGACTCGGTCATTTTAGTCAGTCCGTAAAAATGTGCTCATACAGAGGAAGCATGTAACATTGTGTTTACAGAAACACACACACGAACCCACGTAACAATTATTCATCTTGTTCGCTGAAAATGCGTACTATATCATCTACTGATTTTCTAATCAAATTGGATTTTGCAGATTATTAGAGATAGAAGATGGAAGGAAGTTACTGCGGTGTTCAACTTTCCATCTACAGCTACAAATGCTTCATTTGTGCTGCGGAAATATTATCATTCGTTGCTTCTCCACTACGAACAAATTTACTATTTTAAAGCTCTAGCATGGGATCCTCTCGCTTCTGGTGTGCTCATAGAACATTTAGACCTCATACGAGTAAAAGAATTTGGTACCTTGAAGTTTCCTAACGCAACAATTATTTTGCAGAAAGTTCGCGCAGCCCTTCAGTGACAGCCCTTCCATCTCCAAGGGGAGGAGCTAAACGGAAATCAGCTGAATCTCCTTCTGTGCATCAACAAACACCGATAAATTCAGAAATGCCTGGAGGTTTCTTCTTTTTTCACATTTCGAGCTTAGTCGCTCCTTTTCATTGCTTTTTTTCTAACGAACTTAGTAGAGAGCGAAATTACAGTTCTTCTGTATCATTTCCTGTTGCAGCCAGGACAACAGCATCATCAGAAGATACTGTGACAGGGGTTATTGATGGGAAATTCGAAAACGGATATCTTGTTACTGTCATCAGAGGCTCAACGAAGCTTAGAGGTGTACTTTATCAGTCTCCACGGAATCCAGCACAGGAAGTTCCACCAGTCCCACAGAACTTTGGCGCATTGGTTAACAGAAATGACAGTGTTTCAGCTACACCTGGCGTCCAGCAGCGTCGGCGCAGAAGAAAGAAATCTGAGATAAAAAGGAGGGATCCTGCTCATCCGAAACCTAACAGAAGTGGCTACAACTTTTTCTTTGCGGAGCAGCATGCAAGGCTGAAACCACTCCATCCGGGGAAGGATAGAGAGATAAGTAGAATGATTGGTGAGCTCTGGAATAAATTGAAGGAGGCGGAAAAATCAGTAAGGACTATTCATTTAGTATAAGAATTCAAATCATCCAATTTGAGTTATAAATAACTTCAGTTTTGCAATGTGTAGGTGTATCAGGAGAAAGCAGTTAAAGATAAAGAGCGATACAGAATAGAAATGGAGGATTACCGGGAGAGGTTGAAGACTGGTCAAGTGGTTAGTGATGCAGTGCCACTACAACAGCGGTTGCCCGAAGCAGATGCAAGTAACGTGGAATCAGATGCAAAGATTGAAGAAACTGAGGCCGGAGGCTCAGCACAAACATCGGATGAGAGTAATGAGAGTAGTTCTAGCAAAACAGAAAAGTGATTCTGATGATGGATTGATATGACTGCAAAAGGATGGACCTGGATTTCGTGCCTTGCGGGTGAAGGCATTCATCTGAGCAAGCCTGAAGAGAGAGTATTGAGTATGGATGGATGACGAATCAGGTGGCGAAAAAGAAAGCTTAGTTAGTAATCTAACTTAGACAGAAATCATCGATAGCTAATGAAGAAAACTGAGTCTCTGTGACCAAGTAGGACCGACTCTTTCTATGTTTTAGGTTTAAATTATCCCTTGAATTAGTAGCTTAAGTTGGCATGTTTTTTCCAAACTGCATTACTTTTCATGGTAAGTGAAGCATAAAATTGCATTTACTTGTTTGTTAAAGGAAGGTTTTCATCTGACTTTTTTTTATTGATTAGACTCCATAAATTCGAAATATATTGGACCAAAATTATATTCTTTAATTCTCAAAGTAAAGAGATTTACTTAAAACCTAATTGGACATTGGTAGGGAAATGATTTAGCCGCCCATGCCAGTAAAGATTTGAGATCAACCCATGTTAGTGCTAAGATTTATTAGTCGCCCACACCTATAAAATTTATAGACCAACTTATGCTGGTGCTATGATTAGTCGTCCATGCTAGTAAAGATTTGAGATCGACCCATGTCCTGTGGGCAAAAATGAAAAAAAAAAAGAATCGATGGCCCAAGTAACAAGAGACCACATCGAAATGATTTGTAAACGTTTAAATTTGACGTTGCATCACGACCAAGGGGCATGAACCGTTGGTTGGACACTTGGGGTTCTTTTTGCCTCTCTTCTCTTGGAGGAAAGAAAAACTTGTGAAGGGAGAAAAAGAGAAAATTGGTACCAACCGACAAACCCAAAGTAAGGAAACTAGCATGATAAAAATTTTGCTTCTCGTTATGCCGAAAAGAGAAGATGTTGCTTCCCAAGTGACACTGAAATGCGATAAACGAAAATTCGCTTCTCAAGTGGAACCTACCGTACTAAAACACGGTCAAAACCATAATACTATACCATTAAAATGAAACTAGTATATACCTCCTAGTAGTCACTAACCAGCCATCCCCGGCATTACAGGGCTCCCATGAAAAAGGATCCTGCATTACTTATTCGGTCTTCTCTATCTATGCGTCAAACGAAAACTAGGCAACTGAAAAGAGTTGAGACTAGGTACCCAGCCAGAACAAACACTTGAACAGGTGTAACTACGCTGAATGAGCTTCCTTGCAATGCCCGAAGTCAACATAACCAGTTTTGCCGCTGTTACTTGTATTTGTAGAAGAACTGCAACGTTTTTTAAGAACTTGTATGCACTTGTAGAGGTAAAGTCCGCCAACGTCTTTTCTTGGACATGACCTGAAAATTTAGATTTCAGCAGTCAGCAAAAAAGAGAAGGGAGGAGAAATGAAGGTCGCGGAAATCAATGCAATGACAGTCAGGTGGCCTCAGCATAGTTAACACGATAACACCAAGGATTGCATAGAAGGCTCCATTGATCTGATAGTAGGGAAATGATCAACTTTTCACGTACGTGCAAATGAGTGCACACATAATACACATTGTTATGATGAAGGTCGATAAAAAACCTCCCATGGCTCACACCCTTGCCTCATTCTAACTTTCAGCATAAATCAACATTATGGAAAGCCCACATTGCTCCAGCTTCTCATTCTAATTTCCCACAAAAGCACTTTTGGGAAGACCAACACTGCGAAACCTTAAGGAAGAGCTACTCACAACCTAGCAACTGGACAAAAGCCACCAAAAGTTTGCAGCCAACAGAATAATTATGCCACCGACGAACATCAATTAAGATATTACTAGATACTAATTAACAGAAGAAACAATAAAACAAAATAAAATAATAGATGATATTGTATGCACATATTTACTGATAATGATATAATCAATGCAGAGCGTAAAGAATGGAAGTTTGACAATACACCTTAGATAATGGAGGCAGCATTGCAGCCTGGCCCTCAGCTTTTCCAGGTTCTGTTAACTGCCGTATCTCTCTAAGATGGCTTGCAATATCCTCCAAAAGTTGCAGCTGAATCCTTTCCCTGTCTCTGTGCCCCACTGAGAAGTTGAGCTTCTCTCTTCCCTCTTGCACAATCCTTAACCTTTCTCCAAGCTGCTCAACTTCATTATCAATTTTATATCTTTCATAATCAATTGCAGACATTGAATATCTCCGCATATCAGAAGGTAAAGATCTGCCTCGTGGGCAATCCATTGTGAGAAATACATTAGACGTGTCTGAACTAACTCTCTGGATTTTGCGCTGATTTTTCAACCCAATCGTGGTTGGCATATCGCGTTCACTTTTCTCTGCATTGGACAGATGAGACTTATCATCAATAACATGAACATCAAGAACACTAGGCTCTGTATTCAACACTGTGCTACGTGGATCTCTGCTGCCCTCATCCTGGTTGTTCCCTTGCTTGTCTCTTTTATCATTATTGGATGGAATAGGATTCCTATTTTCATTGCCAGTCCCAGATGTATTTGAAGCCAACCCTTCCCATATGCTAGTGCTAGCATCTAAATTCAGTTCCTGCTTATACGGAGGGCTAGTACTTTTACGGAAACTGAGTCCCCCGGGACTAGGTGACAGGCTGCGTTGTTGATATACCTCTAGCTTCTGGAGCTCTTTTCCTTGAGAAGAAGGTTTCTCATCCATAGACACTATTTCCTTTTCTTGAAACTCGTGACTGAACTTATTGGAACTACTTGAGAAATGTGAATGACTCTCTATGCTTGGATGCAAATGCATGTCCACCCGCTTCAAAGAGTCAGAATCTTCATCCAAATCCAGAATTGGTAGTTCTTTACCAAAAGTAAGAGTATAATCTTTTATTTTGGTAGATGGGACCGCATAATCTGGAGAACTATGTTCCAATTCCAGCTTTGGTACCTGGTCCTCACTTGAATCCACTCGATCATCTCCAAAAAACATTTGCCTGTATTGCTCAACTTCGTTCTCCAAGAAATGCTTTTCCCTCTCCCTCCTAATTAAGATCTCTTTAAGAATGTTCATTTCCTCAGCATCGTAAGCAAATTTTTCCTCTATCATCCTTTGGTACTGCCTTGCCTCCATTTCTATTGATGCCTTCTCCTCTTGCAGGCGCATTATCATGGCCATGGCCTCATCTGCAGCGGTGGCAGCGGCACTTCTCTCCTTCTCCAGTTCAAGATACAGAGCAGCACGAGCAGCATGCTCTTCTTCGAGTGCCTGTTCCAGTACTCTAATTGTAGTTGTCTCATTACTGTCAAAACCTAGTTTCTCTCCTGCATTGGATCCAGAATCTTCAACAAGTGATCCATCCTTCTCCACTGATTTTATTTCATCAACATGTTCATTAAACCCAACACGTGAAACGCTTTCCGGCGAACTCATATCTGTAGGAGCTTCGATGCCATCTAAAATTACAAGAGCATCCACAAAAATGAAGAAAGCAGTATTAGCATAATATGACCAGAAATGAAACAATGATGAGTCTACAAGATCTTATAGTGTATCTTCAAAACAGTAAAACATGTGTGAACTTTGGCTGCAGGAAAGCACCTCTAAACTCAAACTTCAAAGGTAATACCTTAAAATAAATAAAAATTGTACAACTCAGATCCACAGCAATATTTCCGAATCTCCAAGGACAATTTAAATGTCTCTCACCATCTTTTTCTTTTCTTTAAGAAAAAAAAAGTAAGAGATACTGTTTTACAGAAATAAATGTATCAAAAATATATTTTTTGGTTGAAAAACGGGGTTAAGAGCCCAAACAAAGCTGTTCAAATATAAATCTATACCAGGACATCCCAAGCCGATCCACACAAACAAAACTAACTGAACTAGAAGGAGGATTATCAAAGTAATTATCAACAACAACAACAACAACAACAAAGCCTTTTCCCACTAAGTGGGGTCGGCTATATGAATCCTAGAACGCCATTGCGCTCGGTTTTGTGTCATGTCCTCCGTTAGATCCAAGTACTCTAAGTCTTTTCTTAGAGTCTCTTCCAAAGTTTTCCTAGGTCTTCCTCTACCCCTTTGGCCCTGAACCTCTGTCCCGTAGTCACATCTTCGAACCGGAGCGTCAGTCGGCCTTCTTTGCACATGTCCAAATCATCGGAGCCGATTTTCTCTCATCTTTCCTACAATTTCGGCTACTCCTACTTTACCTCGGATATCCTCATTCCCAATCTTATCCTTTCTCGTGTGCCCACACATCCCACGAAGCATCCTCATCTCCGCTACACCCATTTTGTGTACGTGTTGATGCTTCACCGCCCAACATTCTGTGCCATACAACATCGCTGGCCTTATTGCCGTCCTATAAAATTTTCCCTTGAGCTTCAGTGGCCTACGACGGTCACACAACACGCCAGATGCACTCTTACACTTCATCCATCCAGCTCGTATTCTATGGTTGAGATCTCCATCTAATTCTCCGTTCTCTTGCAAGATAGATCCTAGGTAGCGAAAACGGTCGCTTTTTGTGATCTTCGCTAGATTGCTCCGGTCATTAGTGTGGATAAGTATATAAATGGATAGAGATAGGAAAGCAAACACAAGATGTACGTGGTTCACCCAGATTGGCTACGTCCACGGAATAGAAGAGTTCTCATTAATTGTGAAGGGTTTACACAAGTACATAGGTTCAAGCTTTCCTTTAGTGAGTACAAGTGAATGATTTAGTACAAATGACATTAGGAAATATTGTGGGAGAATGATCTCGTAATCACGAAACTTCTAAGTATCGGAGTGTGGTGTCGTCTTGACTTGCCTTATCTGTCTCATAGGTAGATGTGGCATCTTCTCTGGAAGTACTCTTCCTCCATCCAAGGGTGGTATCTTTAACTGGTGGAGATGCACAAGGTAATGTATCAATTTCACTTGAAGCTTACTTGTAGTCTCAGGCTTGGTCAAGCGCGATACAAACCATGTAGTAGGAGTCTCCCAAGTCGCCGAGCTAGGGGGTCTGCTGAAAGAGGTGACAGACAAGGTAAGCAATCAGAGCTCCGACTGATTGTTCACCTTCTCCCCATCTTGCAGCAGCATGAAGGATAAAAAGAAGAAAAATGAGAAGAGATGATATGAGATACTTTTGCTTTTGAAGAAGTAACTTTCCACAGGCTTATTCTTGAACTGAGCTGGAGGGTTTTCTGGTTTCCTCCAGAGTATAAGGCCGACTGAAGAATTTGAGGGTCAAAACAAAGTCCATCAAATCTAGAGTACGTTCCACCCTGCTGATATGGGATACTTTTGCTTTTGACAGAGTAATGGGTGTATCGGCACGTGTGCTGTTACGCTTGTCTCCACATGCTTCCTTGTATCCTTCGCACTTGCCCTATCTGTTCCTCAAGTAGATGCGGAATCTTCCCTGGAAACATAAGATGTTGAAGATGAGTACTCGAGAGCAATGCCAGGTAAGTAATCAGGTAAGGGGTTCCAGGCAGTCAGTTCCTGGCTGGAAGCTTGATCCAAGTGCTGACTGATTGCTCTCTTTCTCCTTGTCTTGCAGGTAAAAACAAGGCCAAAGGAAAAGATAGGGAAAAAGCATGATATGGGATACTCTTGCTTTTAACCCTGATGATATGAGATATTCTTGCTCTAGTATAGCTTGTTTGCAGAGGTATTATCGGGGGGAAAGAAAGCTGAATATTTCGAAAGGCTTCGTTGGGAGTGCCCTCTCAGATATGATGAAGGGTTGAGCATTTTTGCAGGTCTGCCTGTCCGTTGGGGATGGAGGTCGACATATATAGGAGTCTCCCTAACAACAAGTAGTAATGCTATTCCTTTACCCTGCTTGGTCATAGCACGGTAGTGGGAGCTGCCAGTTTCACATGTTTTAACTCTGTCAGAGCACTTTGAAAAAGTGGTCTGTGGTATCTGGCTCTCGAGATTCGGAGAACGATGCCTCTTCGATTTTTGAGAAAGCAATCATGCTGGGGGTCTGGCTCTCGAGATTCGTAGAGCAGTGTCTCTTCGATTTTTGAGGAAGTAATCATGTTGGGAGTCTGGCTCTCGAGATTCGGAGAGCGGTGCCTCTTCGATTTTGGAGCAAGCAATCCAGTTGGGAGTGTTGTCTCGAATGTGAGTAAAGGTTGGGCATGTTTGCTAGTCTACCTTGCCACGAAGCACAAAGGTTGACACACAGAGACTTTCCAATTATCCAGCAATGGTACTGTTCCTTTACCCTCTCTTCGCTTTTGAGAAAGTAGTCATGTTGGGAGTCTGGCTCTCGAGATTCGGAGGACGGTGCCTCTTCGATTTTGGAGCAAGCAATCTTGTTGGGAGTGTTTTCTCGAAAGTGAGTAAAGGTTGGGCATGTTTGCTAGTCTACATTGCCACGAAGCACAGAGGTTGACACACAGGGACTTTCCAATTATCCAGCAGTGGTACTGTTCCTTTACCCTTGTGGGTAATAATATGGTAGCTAGACCTTCAAAATTTATGTGTCTAAACTTTGTTAGTGCTGTTTCTTTGCTATTCTTCTACCTTTCTTGGTCAGAGCGATGTAGTGGGAGCTGCAAGCTTCACGTGCTCAACTTTGGCAGAGAACTTTGGCAAAGTTATCTGTGGTACCCATGAGCTATTGTTGCGTGTGGGAAGTGGGTGATTGAACAGTAAGATTCATGTGCTTTCTACTTCACCAGAAGTCTTCGACAGAATTCCCATAATTTCTGCAAAAGCTGAGTGCGTGTGACAGGTGCTGACAAGGCTAGAAAAGTAGGTGCCTCTTCGATTTCTGAGATCGGCCCTCGTGGTCTCTGAGCAGCCCAGCTTTTGAGAAAGCGAGCGCCTCTTCGATTGATTCGGAGAACGATGCCTCATCGATTTTTGAGAAAGCAATCATGCTGGGGGTCTGGCTCTCGAAGATTCGGGGAGCAGTGTCTCTTCGATTTTTGAGAAAGTAATCACGTTGGGAGTCTGGCTCTCGAGATTCGGAGGGCGGTGCCTCTTCGATTTTGGAGCAAGCAATCTTGTTGGGAGTGTTTTCTCGAATGTGAGTAAAGGTTGGGCATGTTTGCTAGTCTACCTTGCCACGAAGCACAGAGGTTGACACACAGGGGCTTTCCAATTATCCAGCAATGGTACTGTTCCTTTACCCTCTCTTTGATTTTTAAGAAAGTAGTCATGTTGGGAGTCTGGCTCTCGAGATTCGGAGGACGGTGCCTCTTCGATTTTGGAGCAAGCAATCTTATTGGGAGTGTTTTCTCGAATGTGAGTAAAGGTTGGGCATGTTTGCTAGTCTACCTTGCCACGAAGCACAGAGGTTGACACACAGGGACTTTCCAATTATCCAGCAGTGGTACTGTTCCTTTACCCTTGTGGGTAATAATATGGTAGCTAGACCTTCAAAATTTATGGGTCTAAACTTTGTTAGTGCTGTTTCTTTGCTATTCTTTTACCCTTCTTGGTCAGAGCGATGTAGTGGGAGCTGCAAGCTTCACGTGCTCAACTTTGGCAGAGAACTTTGGCAAAGTTATCTGTGGTACCCATGAGCTATTGCTGCGTGTGGGAAGTGGGTGATTGAACAGTAAGATTCATGTGTTTTCTACTTCCCCAGAAGTCTTCGACAGAATGCCCATAATTTCTGCAAAGCTGAGTGTGCGTGTGACGGGTGCTGACAAGGCTGGAAAAGTAGGTGCCTCTTCGATTTCTGAGATCGGCCCTCGTGGTCTCTGGGGAGCCCAGCTTTTGAGAAAGCGAGCGCCTCTTCGATTTCTGAGATCGGCCTTCGTGGTCTTTTGAGCAGCCCAACTTTTGAGAAAGCAAACGCCTCTTCGATTTCTGAGATCAACCCTCGTGATCTCTAAGCAGCCCAGCTTTTGAGAAAGCAAACGCCTCTTCGATTTCTGAGCAGGCGCCTCTTCGATTTCCGAAGCTCCGTCGAGTGCAGATTTTTATAGAGGCTGACATTAAGTTCCAAAGCACACTTGAATCTCCACCAGTAGAAGCTTCATTCTTGCACTTCTAAGATCTTGATTTGTCCGACCTCTTCTATCTTCAACACCTTTGAAAATGTCTGGCCCCTCCGACCGTCGTTTTGACTTGAACCTTGTTGAAGAGGCAGCCCCGCCTTCTCCAGACAACATATGGCGCCCATCCTTCGTCTCTCCTACTGGTCCTCTTACCGTTGGGGATTCCGTGATGAAGAATGATATGTCCGCTGCGGTGGTGGCCAGGAACCTTCTCACTCCCAAAGATAACAGACTACTTTCCAAACGGTCTGATGAGTTAGCTGTTAAGGATTCGCTGGCTCTCAGTGTTCAGTGTGCAGGTTCTGTGTCTAATATGGCCCAACGCCTATTTGCTCGAACCCCGCCAAGTTGAATCCTTGGCGGCTGAAGTGATGAGTCTCAAACAGGAGATTAGAGGGCTCAAGCATGAGAATAAACAGTTGCACCGGCTCGCACATGACTATGCTACAAACATGAAGAGGAAGCTTGACCAGATGAAGGAAACTGATGGTCAGGTTTTACTTGATCATCAGAGATTTGTGGGTTTGTTCCAAAGGCATTTATTGCCTTCGTCTTCTGGGGCTGTACCGCGTAATGAAGCTCCGAATGATCAACCTCTGATGCCTCCTCCTTCTAGGGTTCTGTCCAGTACTGAGGCTCCAAATGATCCCCTCCGGTGCCTTCTCTTTCTGGGGCTCTACCGACTGCTGAGACTTCTCCTAAGCAACCTTTGTGAAGGCTCCGTCTTGTGTGTTTATTTTGACTCATGTATATGTACAAAAATTGCAAAATCTAATGCAAGGCTATAGTTTGCTAAGCTACCCGCCACAAATATCTTCAAATGGTTGACAAAAACTTAATTAAAATGGTTTAGTTCACAAGCTGTGCGGCAATCAGTTGTTACTATAAATTGTACAACGTAAAATAGAACTGCTAGCTGCAAACTCCCCCTTTGTCATATCTCTAAAAGGTACTACTTGTTTAGGTAAGAAATTACAGCATTTTACTGGCCCTAAACGACTTAGAATACAGTACGAGAATGAAATTTGCAAACACTAGCAAATCAAGCATTAAGAAGACTCGATAGTCAAATATAGATTAAATTCAACTCGATATAATGAATCTCACCTGAATTTACAAAAACTTCAGTAACCTCATTTCCCATTTTACTAATGCTGGAAGGAGATGTAGGATTGTCCTGTGCAGCGGACTGGAACATATCATATGATGAAACTGATGATGAATTTCCATAATCAACAGAGCCCCCTCTGCGGCGGCGCCGAAGTCTCGGCCTTCGACTTGCAACCTTCTTTGCCTTAAGATCAAAACTCTGTTCCTTCCCAGCAGCCAAGTTGCCTACACCAGACTCAACACTGTGTTCATTCTCAGCCACCGAAAATGAGCTACATGACGCTTCACCTTCAAACGCAAAACTCCCATTTGCCTCATTTAGGGACTTCAACTTTGAATGGAAATTTGGGTCTTCATCCCATATAACATTGAGAGGGAACTTGCTCCTAACCGACCATAGAACTGAAGAGATTTTCTCACACGGGGGATCCGCAAATTGCCTCTGAAAGCAGTCACTTTTCCTTGGGGTCCAAAAAACCCATCACAAGGGCACGGCAGACAAAACCCAAACAGACCAACAAATTTCGAGGTAAAGTAGGCAACTGCCGCGGCACATAGTAGAAGATAGGCTATTGCAAGATCAAGAAATGCACCGACTAGCTCGTTAAATTTCCACGAATGTATCATTTGGCATGCCATTTTCCATAAAAATCATTCACCATTCATCCAGCTCACTAAAACCAAACCAATTCAAACCTCCGCTCGAATGCTGAAACATTAATTGGAACGAAAATCTCAAGAAAATATTCCCATATTCGTACATTTCTATATCAATCAGAACACAATAAACAATAACGAAGAATATTACATCACAAAGTTTGAATCTTTAACCATTTTCCATTGCAATTAGCACACTACAAACAGAATACTAATAAAATTGAACCAGTGCCGCATTTGATTGCTAACCAAAATGCAACTATTAACAATTTGGATCTCTAATCCAACAGTAATTACACTCAAATCACCTGATTAAACTCCAAATTTCAGTGATTTCCATTGTTATCCGACAACCCAAATCAGCATGCCAATAAACTCAAACAAACACCAACCCAATAATAAAAATGGAAACAACGGGAGTGAAAGCAGGCAATAGAAAGCTATGAAATGAAGAGTAAGTTCTTCACTCACCAAATTAACAATACTGAGTCGACTCGGCGATTTTTCCTCTCTGAGTTTTTTTTTTTCTTCTTTCTAATTTTGGACAGTGGCGGTTTTGTTTTTATTTTGAATGGTAGGAGGAGGAGGCGGCGCTAAGGGATGAAGACGAAGGCGTTGGGGAAATGGACCGGCTCGGCCGCTTCGGGCAGCACCCGAGGGGGATACGTCGTCGTTTTCCGTCACCTACTGCTCTCATCTTTATTAAATTTTGTTGGATTCGAATTTCGCACGTTATGATTTTGTCAGCGCTGCGTTTGGGGGCTTGGGATTTACCGCTTGATGATCAACTTATTTCAATTTGACGCTTTCTGTAACTGTCGATCTCCTTTTAAGATGGTGATGCTGGTTTTACTTTTACCTCCAGTAAAATGAAATTTTGTTTAATAAAAAATCCTCTCAATTAAAAAGAAATTATTTTCAAATTTACCTATTATGTTTTGTTATTAACGATATTATTATTTTAAGTTACACTAAAATATACGGGGTTTTAACGAAAAGTTCGCCGTACTGTTTACTTTAACAAAAAAACCATATTTTTACACTAAAAAGTCAATCCTGGTACTATTCACTTTACCATTTATTTTGTCTTTATCGTTAAAGCACAAAGCTTTCAAGTTATTTTCATTAGTTTTTCTTAAAATATATGTTGATCTTGATACATATTCAAGACGTATCAACGTAACCTACAACGCATTGTATCGGATCAAATATCGATTACGCTATTAAATTGTTGTATCCATGCTTCATGGTGCAGCTCTCATTGGGACCATTGTAAGGGTTGGAGGGAAGGGAACTAAAATAAAAGAAGTCTCCAATTTTTCATAAGATGCTTTATGGTATGGGTATTTCTATCAAAGTTTTCTCAAAAATTTGTGTTTAAATGAAAGTTTGTTAGAAATTTTACTTATTTATATTGATTTGGAGCTTTAAACTCCAAACATATTTTAATTTATAGAATTGCGTTAAGAAATGTTAATAAATCAAATATGTGTTAGAATATAGATAAATTGGGATGTTATAATAAAAAAAATCATACGTCTTAAAGTTGGAAAGACAGGGTGAAGAACACACGCATTGGTGAGTGGTATTGTCGAAGGGAAAATGCAGTGGGAAAGTGTTCGGGAATGAAGCGCTTCCCCCTTGCCCTAGTTACCTATGCTCAGTATCATAAGTGGAGTGAGAACACATGAGATTTTTCAGTGTGTCAGGACATAAATCGGTACTCTAAGTCTAATAATAAATCTGGTTGGAAACTTAAAAGAAGAAAAAAAATTCAACTGATTGTTTTATTACACTTGATATATCAGACCGTATTCCCGATATACTGAAAATTTGATGTTAGAAGATTAAGGGATTATTCAATTATGAGTCGGAGGTCTATAGACACTTCGATGATGATGAGTACGAGAGGCAGGTTCTGAGATTTCAAGACAAACTATCCAAAATTCCAAATGAGGTCATCAACACTGCAGTTAGAATATTCACTTTGATCTTTTGAGGGGTTGGTTTTGAATCCTCTCCCAACTTTTTGGTTTTGAATCCTCTCCCAACTTTAGACAGAAAAAAGTGCAGTTGGTGGGTATATTTGTTGGGCTTCCGCTGCCATCCCAGATTGTGTTTTGGTGGCCTTTGCTACCATCAAATTCAACTTTGCTGTTATGTTTTGTCTCAACTACTCCCTTAGACGGACGATTCTTAGGTGTAACCGAGGTATTTCTTTTGTTACATATTAGAACTTCTCGTTAGATGACGACTAATTTAACAATCATATGTGTCCCTTTTATCATGATTCATGAGTGAAAGATGTCAACTACTATATTTTTAGTAATTGAATTGTTTATTTATCAATAAACCTGTAAGAATTTTATCAATTATTCTCTCTCTCATATTAAGAAAATATTTGGATGCTAACTCCCTTTTTATTGTAGTAGGTATATAATCACATTGGCTAGAACAAGTATGTTGCCTAATCCAAATCCAGGAAAAAAACGTACGATGGAATAAATTCTTAGTTATATACGGAGTTATAACCCTCTTCTTCATAATTTAGACTAGTGTAATTTTATCGATTATTTTTCCCTCTCTCATATTAATAAAATATTTGGATGCTAAATCCCTTTTTACTGTAGTAGATATATAATCATATTGGCTAGAACGAGTACGTTGCCTATTCCAGATCCACGAAAAAAAAACTTAGATGGAATAAATTTTTAGTTATATACAGAGTTATGATCCTCTTCTTCGTAATTTAGACTAGTTTAAAATATAATATCAACAGTTTATATCGAAAAGTCTTTTTCACTCAATAATTTTGACATCCTGTAAAATACACCCTCCAACATGAGTGTGTTGTCACGTACGACAGCCGCACCGAACAATCTCTTAGAATTTGAGGTAGTTGGTCTCTCAACTTCAAATGGAAGAAAAATAAGAAAGAAATAGAGAGAGAGATTGAAAAGTTGGAGATCTATGAATAAAATTACAAGATTAGGCAACCCACATCACCAAACTCAATCTGCCATGCGAATTTGGAATATAATTCCAAAACCCAAGTTTAAACTTTATGCTCAAATAATTTTTGGCACCATCCATAGACTTCCAACGACTCCAACCCATCAAATGGTCCCATCCTCTTGCCGTAATTGTCTTCCACCACCCACACTGATTGCGCCCTTGGTTATGATTTCAGGTGATTTATACAGTCGACAACTGACAATATTTTAGCGGTAGTGTTATCTGCACATTATTTTTTTTTTTTTACGTATTTTTTGTTATTTGCTGTCATTTAATCATCTTTAAATGCCAAAAATTAAGATAGTTGTACACAGTGGCGAAGCCAGAAATTTTCAAGGGGAGGGGCGAAATTTAAAAGCGTACAAAATTTCAAAAAATATGTAGACAACAAAATCATTTTATATAGTAAAAAATTTAAGTATCGTTTGTAATGTATTAATACAAACAAATTACAATTGTTATCGTTCGTAATGTATTAATACAAACAAGCCTACATGTGATGTCACACCCCATTCCTAATTAAAAATAGTTTTGGGGTCTTAATTGGTGAGCCCAAGGCCCACCCCCTGATATCTGTCCCTTTCTCCCGTACTCCCTCTCTCATCTCTCTTCCTTTCTCCCCTCACTCCCTATTCTGCTCTTCTTCGAAGCTCCTCGAGCTCTCTCTCCCTCAAGTCGCCCTCACCCTCTCCCTCTCTACTCGTGAGCAACATCCATACCCACAATCTTATACACACGCACACCTTAGGACCCTCCCAAGCAAGAACTCGAACCGAGGATAAGTACGTGGTGCACCACAGTGGCGGAGGTAGAACAGCCATGGAGGGGTTGGGTTTTCCGGGAGGGGAGGGGCTGAACCTGAGCTGGGGCTGTGTTTTCCGGCGAGGGGAGTGGCGGACGCCACTCCTCGCCCTCACGTGGCTTCGCCACTGGTTGTACAAAAGGTAAAAAAGAGTGTATGGTAGCACCACCCTATCTTAGGCCTTCCACATAGTCGGAAAATTAAATGTGGTACTAATAATATGAGAATGAAAGTTCTACGCTTCTCAGTGTAAGATGAGTGATTCTTATTTTTTAGTTCAATACATTGAATAACAGATGGTGATCACAATAATATGTAGGGATGTGCTATCCATACACCATTTTTTACTTCTCGCATACCCTTTGTTAATTTATGTTCGTTGATCTTTTTTAATTCATTTGATCCGACGGTCGAAAATTAAAAAGATGCTGTGAGAGGTAAAAAGATGTGTGTAAATATCACATCTCATAAATCCCTAATATGTAATATGAATTAAATATACGGTGCCTGATTCTTATATTCAAACATCAAATGCGCATAAATAACTTTTGAAAGCATTTACTCTCTCTAAATTACAATCAATCACTTCAAAATTGGGACGAGGATTGTCTGCCCTCCACTTCTGGTGCCCTCTCCGTGCCCTCCTGTTTTGTGTGGTCACGGTTAAGCCACGTCAACATTTTATATTATTTTTTTTAGATATAATAACACAAAAATAAATAGTAATATAAAATGTTAACATGACTTAATCGTGATCATACAAACAGAAGGGTACAGAGAGAGCACCAGAAGTAGAGAGCAGACAATCATTGTCCTTGAGGACGCTTGGTAGTTGATATGACCTCAATTTAGATAAACCCCAAAATTTCAATGTCTTGGTTGTGGGTACACAAAATCAACAAAGTGGTTTAATCTGTACGTAAATTGTCTGCCATCCGACCAAGGTGTGGTTAGATAGACTTACTAGACATGCATGTCATGGATAGGTCTTGCATAGAATTAATTATAGCAACTACTAGATGTGATAGGTATGAAATCAAGTAACACGCTCATTCTACATCTAGTGACTTGTTTAAAAGTGTTTTTAAAATGATCAAAATCGTTTTTTATGAAAATATTTTTAGAATTAAATTTTAATAAAAAAATACAGGTGAATCTTGAAAAAATAATTGAAATGCTTCTTATAAAAAACGGATAATCGATGCTTCTTACAAAAAACCTTAAATTTTTTTTTTAAATCCAAAAACATTTTCTTTAAAAAATTTGAATCATTTTATAAGCAATTTTAGACGAGCATCAAGCCTAATATAAACTTGCATGTTTCACAAAATTGATCTTTTTTTTAATGTAAACAAAAATGTTCCCGCTCATTCGTACACATGATACATCTTTATTTTATTGGAAAACTCAAAATTGTAGGATTTTTCTTTTAAGTGATATTATTACTTTAAGTTATATAGATAGATAGAGAGAACAATTTGAATTATAGACGAGATGAATTGAAGATGAAGATCCTAATCATTACGACAATCTACCACTTACTAAAATAATAGCGTATAGTCACAAAAACTCTAAACCAACATTATTTTGGCGTTCACAAATACAATTTGATTTAGTCGCATCTTAAAAGATATTCAAAATCACATTCCATGAACGATAGCTGCTAAATGAAAGAAATTATTACATAAATCGTAAATAAGTTAATGCGCAGTCTTGAACGTCATCCCATGTTAATTAACGATTATTAGACACCTTTCCGTTTTTTCCATACTAATTTTACGAGTTCGGATCATTTTTGTGAGGATTTCGAAGATCTGTGAATTGTGTTCATTCATGTACATCGTGCAGTTAGAAATTATTTTAAATATTTTTATTTAAAAATAAACATATATAGTACTTGACAAAAACTGACCGCACGATATACGATGAACGGACACGATTCACGGATCCTTAAGATCCTCACCAATATGATCTAGAAAGGATCTGTTGGTAATTTTACACAAAAGTCTTGGTAATTACTAATTAACTATTACTAATTTATTTAGTGTGAAGATGTAAGGGTCGGATTTGGATCCTCTCCGAGGCAACTGGTCAGGATCCTCCTGACCAATGTTAGTGGACCGTTATCAAACGGCTATAAATAGAGAGCCCTCTAAAAATTATAATAATTGTAACAGTTGGATAAAAATCCAACAGTCCACTAACACTGTTTAGAAGATCCCAACCAGTTGCCTCGGAGAGGATCCAAATCCGTAAGGGTCAACCAACCCCTGTGAAACGTTGTCCCCACGCGCTTACAAGGCCAACTGGCCAAAGTGTGAAACCAAATGTTTGGCAACCAAAAAGACTATGAAATTGCAATTGAAATGTATTCTATACATATCTGTCACGTGAAATAGAATCGTCGTCAATTGCGTCTACACAGTTCGGAACCTTCGGCTGACGATATTGCGGGCGTAGCGTAACTATATTAATTAGAGTTAATAAGCTTTCTTTACCATTTAAGTTTGAATTCTTTTCCTCGCAATTTAAATTAATCAAAATAGAAGATCGATCGTATGAAAAAATATTCAAAGAAGCTTTTTCATGAAATAAATATGGGGTAGGTTCCAATATGGGCGGTTGATAGGCATTTAATTCAACCATGCAACCTAACCCTGTTGATAAAACAACGAACCACCAAAGGCATTGAGCGTGACTGTTATATACTTTATCCTTTCAACAATTCATCCAGTTTCTCAACATCTTTCTTGCTCTCCTCCACCGTCGTTCATGTCCAAACCCAACTAGTCCATAATCTCCGCCACCCGCCGCCGCCGCCACCACCATGCAGCTGAATCGTCTTTGCTTCGTACTACCGGAAGACTACAAAGAAATGGAGCCGGTGGATCACCAAAACCTCCACAAACCTACCAAGGAAGACATAAAAAAAAATCCACCACATCGTCACTGCACGAGTCATATTCGTGGTCTCATCAAGGATTCACTATGCAGGCTATATGATTTGATATGGATCAACTTCTGTCACCATGACGCTACGCAACGGAAGCAACACTCGGGCGCGTTTCAAGACATGGACGGGATACAGCTCAAGGACAAGGTCGGAGGAGACAATCCGAGGATCTTTAGCTTTTCCGAGCTTTATATTGGCTCGAACGGGTTCAGCGAGGATCAAGTTCTTGGAAGTGGAGGTTTCGGGAGAGTGTACAGAGCGGTTTTACCGAGTGATGGAACTGTGGTTGCTGTGAAATGCTTGGTGGAGAGAGGAGAGCAGTTTGAGAAGACTTTTGCGGCGGAGTTATTGGCCGTGGCTCACCTCCGTCATAGGAACCTTGTCCGGCTGAGAGGATGGTGTGTTCATGAAAACCAGCTGTTTTTGGTTTATGACTTCATGCCTAACCTTAGCCTCGATCGCGTACTTTTCAGGAGACCTGAAAATATGCGGTCGGTCTCTCTCAGTTGGCAGCGTAGAGCGAACATAGTCAGCGGGTTGGCAGCAGCGCTTTTCTATCTTCACGAACAGTTGGAGACTCAGATCATTCATAGGGATGTTAAGACGAGTAACGTGATGCTTGATTCCCATTACAATGCTCGGCTTGGTGACTTTGGCTTGGCACGGTGGCTAGAACATGAACTTGAGTCCCAAGCACGGACGCCGTCAATGAAAAATGTTCAGTTTCGGATGGCAGAAACCACGAGAATTGGTGGAACAATTGGGTATTTGCCGCCCGAAAGCTTCCAAAAAAGAAGCGTGGCTACTGCGAAATCTGATGTTTTCAGCTTTGGAATTGTTGTGCTTGAGGTGGTGTCAGGTAGGCGGGCAGTAGACCTCGCTTGCTCAGATGATCAGATCATATTGCTCGACTGGATTCGAAGGCTATCTGATGAAGGGAAGCTTTTACAAGCAGGGGACAATAGGATTCCAGATGATTCTTACCAGCTTTCTGATATGGAGCATTTGTTTCATGTTGCTCTTCTTTGCACACTTCACAGCCCGCAATCGCGACCAAACATGAAATGGGTTGTGGATGCACTTTCCGGCAACATTCATGGCAAGTTGCCGGACCTCCCATCGTTTCAGTGCCACCCTTTGTACATCTCTTTATCCTCTCCCTCGAGTGCTGGCACGAACAATGGCAGCAGCGCCAACAGCAGGTACACAATTGGCACCACCAACACAACCACATCTACTACATCAACTTATGTCACAGCCAATGCAGACACCATCTTTGCAAGTGCTGAAAACGGAAGCAGTGATGTCAGCTCTTCTCAAAGCTTCCGTCTGAAGAAATCAACATTTCCCATGGTTGAAACTCCGCAAGAAATATCCTACAAGGAAATTGTATCTGCTACGAATAATTTCGCAGACTCTCAGCGGGTAGCGGAGCTGGACTTTGGAACAGCCTACCAGGGCTTTCTCAACAACCGCCATCATGTCCTTGTGAAGCGGCTTGGCATGAAAACATGCCCAGCACTGAGGGCGCGATTTTCAGATGAACTTCAGAACCTAGGAAGGCTCCGCCACCGAAACTTGGTACAGCTCCGTGGATGGTGCACGGAACAAGGAGAGATGCTTGTTGTCTACGATTACTTGGCAGATCGCCTTCTGAGTAACCTACTTTTCCATCACGACAATAGATTCGTTAATTGTATCCTGCAATGGCGTCACAGATACAACATTATAAAATCGCTTGCTTCCGCCATTCTTTATCTTCACGAGGAATGGGACGAACAAGTGATTCACAGAAATATTACCTCCTCGGCTGTTATTCTTGATCCAGACATGAACCCGAGGCTGACTTCATTTGCCCTTGCTGAATTCTTGACACGAAATGACCACGGGCATCATGCAAGTACCAACGCAACCAAATCAGTTCGTGGAATTTTCGGTTACATGTCACCAGAATATATGTTATCTGGGGAAGCAACACCAATGGCTGATATATATAGCTTCGGGGTGGTAATGCTTGAGGTTGTTAGCGGACAGCTGGCAATCGACTTCAGGCGGCCTGAGGTGCTACTGGTGAAGAGGGTTCATGAATTTGAGGTGCGCAGAAGACCATTCGAGGAGCTGGCAGACATCAGATTGAATGGAGCGTACAATCACAAAGAACTGATGAGACTGATTAAGCTAGGAATTGACTGTACACGCTCCAATCCTCGATCAAGACCAACCATACGGCAGATTGTAAGGATACTTGATGGTGATGACAAATGCTTCATGCAAGAAGGGAAAAGGGCGGAAATTGTCGAAGATTGGAGACGAATGAATGGTTGTTCCTTGTCATTGATTAGGAGTATCCAAGCTCTAGGAATACAATGAAAGTCACTCGGGCGGCTTAACAGAGTGATGAATAGATAGTGTATAAAGTTTTGTTAATGGAAAATTTGATTTCTGTTTTTACCTCCTACACAGAAATTTAGTTTTTATTCTTTTAAGTTAGACTTTGTGTAACAAAAGAAAGAGGATCATGTCTCCGGATGTATTTTTCTCAGAAACCGAGCGCTGTAAATATATATATTTATATATGTTCTTGCCAAATCGAATGCCATATCAACAGATACAAAGTTTTCTGCAATTTCGTTTACTAAGAATACAAATAACCAGATACAGATGCACAGGATTCACAAGATGACTCAAACTTTCAAAGAATTCAGAGGACCTAACAATGACCGAGCAGTGAAACTGTTTTATACAGATTAAAGATTCTTTAGTAATACAAGCAGATATCTCAATCTGACCTCACTGAACAGCTACTCCACCCATTTCTAAGCTGTTCAAGCTACACACTACTTGCTTGAACTTCGTACTGGAGACATTTCTCCGTCTGTGTCAATTCCAACCCAATCGATGAAAGCAAAGAGGAACTCCCTGAAAGTGACCTTCCCATTTTTGTCCCAATCCATTTCTTCTGCAACAATCAACAGTTTAAAAAAATGAATTATGCGAACCTTAGATCCATGTCGAAGAAATAGTTTAATCATAGAAAGCAAAAGAAACTATACTGAATCGAGTCCTGGTGACACGTGCAGGGGATTTCTCCAAAGGAGAAGCCTCGTTCAATGCCTTCACCACGTCTGTCTTGTTCAGTTTCCCATCGCCATTTTTATCCAGAAATGAGAATACTTCAACTACAGTGTCAAAAGTTGCTTCAAGCTGTGGCGAGTTTATCTTTGATATCTGAAACAATCCCCAAGACATTACGTATAGGAATAGGATGCTACGAAATTGATTCCAAACAGAAAAACAAAATAGAGTTTAGGGGAATACCGTATGAGAAGATGAAGGTTCCTTTAATAGATAGATGAGGCATAGAAGAACAATGAATTCGTTAAATTGTATCCCCTCACTTCCATCCATGTCACATGAATGGAAAAGATCCTCAATCTCCTCCGCTGTCAGATGGAGTTGCAGTTTCTGCAAGCATTTCTTCAGTTCTTCGCGGTCAATAGTTCCATTTGAGTCCTCATCTGTGAGAAAGAGACAGACAGATCAAGAGGGGGAATTTTCAGTAAACCTCCATAATAACATCTTCGAAAGCTGAAAATCTGGGCAAAGAGTACATCCACTTTGTCCAAACTCACCATACTGTTCAAACACATCTCGAATTTTCTTGAGTTCCTCCCTGAACTGGGGGAACCTCATGATAATGCTGTCAATTGATTTAAAATTACTACGGCCCAAGGAACCTCTTTTAACTTCAACCATCTTCTTTTCAAGCTTCGCATCCAACCTGCTATACTTATTTGGTGAACTACAACAACACAGCATACCTCCTACTTTGTTTGACATAGACTTGAGCTGAGAGCGGAGATGGGATGTGCCTTTACATAATACATGAAGAAGAATCAAGTTTAGCTCAACAAGAACGATGAAACCTATATCCTGTCAAAATATCTCATGTTCAATTGTTTCAACAGTTAATAATGACAAATTTAATTACATAAAAGCTCAACGGATATGTTTGTAACATTACTCTGCCGAGGTCAAGAATCAAATTGTTTAATGATTTTCGTATTTCCTTCCGATCTCAGTGGCAATCACACAAAACTGAAAATGTATATTCTGTAACTGCAGTTTTTTCTCCTTCACATGATTAATGGCATATTCTGCGATGTTAGATCCTAACTTTAGACTTGTTGGGAATCCAATTGAGAATGCTAAGAACTAAAAGGTTGTCGTTGTTGATTCTCATAACCAAGGAAACAAGAGGAATGCAGTAGAGAAAGTGCTAACAGGCTACAATAGTTTGTAGAATAGGACGGGATGTTAACAAGAAACTTATACAGGATAACAGGAAACCAAATAAACAGAAAAGGAAATAAATTACTGTAACTACGAAAATGAAAGTGCATGATTTGACCAAGATGCCCAAATTCCATATTTCCAGAGTTTTTCTTGACGTGCCGAAATTCCTAGAAGAATTTATTAAACAAAACTTTTCCTTTCTGAGAATCTAACAACTCCATGCACACATTAATGATGCCTACTTAAACTTGGTACAAAAACTTTATAAAGAAAAAAAGCAGTACTGATGGCATCTGTGGAGACGGGCAAGTGATGGATAAGCCGTCAGTGGTTCCAATGTCAAAGTATAAACAGACGAGGAACTTCCTTTTCCAAATACAAGTAACCATTGAGAGTAACCCACGTCGAAGGATGGAACTCTAGCATGAGTGCTTAAAAAGATCTTAGGCCTCTCCACCAATTGCCAACTAAGTTGTGCCTCAGTTTGGGAAGTACAGCGGAACTAAGGTAGCGTTACCTTGCTTATAAATGAAGGAAACTACTGAAAGAATAGACTTCCATAGTTAACATAACATTACATATAACATGTGAAGAGATCATATTTTAGAACTTAGGACAATCAAAATTTCCCCTTGTTCTCATTTTGATCAAACCCGGTGAAGAACAAAACCGTGTTTTTCTGTTTCAAGACTGCAATCTAACCTCTTCTAAATCCTTACACACACAACACATGTAAGGCATAGCAGAAGCCTAAATAAACTAGCTTCAAAGGATATAAACCTAGTTTTTATTAAACACTGTAATCAATTCAATCGCTCATTATTTTCTTCTTTGATTCGAGCAGTATTAGGGGAAAGGGGAATTGAACTCAAGACCTCGGGTGCGTGGAAATGCTCTAAACCAACTAAGCTACAAACGACCGTCGCCAATTAACACATAAATGACCCCAGAAACTTTCTGGCAATGCCCAACTTCAACTTTTTGAAAAACAATTACTGGGTGTTTTCTTCCAAAAATATAGATAATTAACACCTGACAGCTTAAGATAATCAGATAACAAATATAAAGAGCAAAGAAAGAAAGAGGGAGTAAGACTAACTCACCAGCTGAAGGAGAAGAAGTCTTCATGTTTAGTTTTTTGTTCCGGAGATAAAGCAATGACAGAGAGAAAAATAAGAAGAGTAGCAACAAAGCAAGTACCACCCCACCAAAGGCCTACCAAGCTAGAGAGAGAGAGAGAGGGAGAGAGAGAGGGAGGGTTTAAATAAGGAATGGGATGCCAAAGTGGAGATGCCAATTATTATGGCTTTTGAATTTTGGTGGCCAAAGTATATTTGCTTCCAACGTCTCTCCTTCTCGAATATTTATTCATTTTTTCCATATAAGATCACATAAATTAATATGATGGTTTAGAAGGATATACCATTTTCCCTCAATCCCATTGACAATCTTTCGAGCAAAAAAGTAATTTACGTAACCAATAAATATTTTGTCCAGTGACATTCAATCTTTATTTTGTTCAAAGAGTGTAGATAGTCCTCATTAATTGGTCTTAAACAGAGCACACCATATTTCCCTATTTCACTTCAAATGCATTTGGTGATATTTCCTTTTCCAATGTTAGAAGAGATTTCAAGGCTGAACTAGGCCTGTCATTTTTAACCCAACCCGTTAACCCGACCCGACCCGACCCGTTAAAATTAGTATTCGGGTGGGTGGTTAACGGGTCGGGTAGTTAACGGGTCAACCCGTTAGTCACCCGTTACATAACGGGTCAATTTGGGTGAACCCGCGAAACCCATTAGCCACCCGTTAAGACCCGTTTGTAAGGATTTTTGTGTAATTTCAATAGCCCTAATTCAAAACCTCAGGACCTCAGTCGTCAGCCCTCACGTTCCTCACCTCTCTCGCTGCCTCACACGCCATTGCTCTATGAGACTGAGATCGCTGTGCAGCCTGTGCTCCTTCCTTCTAGCTCCGGTTATCTCCCTCATCTTCTTCCCTCAAAAACTTTACTGAACTCCACCACTCTCTCTCTGGTAAGCTGCGATTTCCTTCCACCTCTTCTTTCATTTCGATTACTTTTCGTTTCTGCAGATTAGATTTTTGGTTGTGTTTTGGATAATGGGTTTTGCGTTTTGTTCATGGGTTTTGTACAGAGTATTGATTTAGTGTACAGAGTATTGATTTCTTTGTTCATGGGTTTTGTTCATGCGTTTTGTTCATGGGTTTGAATCTTTGGAATCTGTTTGGACTACTTTTGACTCCTCGGTTTGTCGCTGCACTCTAAAATGGTCATTATCTGTAGGAAGGGCTTTGATAATTTCTTCCATTTACAAATTTTCTATGGCGAGTGCGGATAATCATGGAGGTAGGAACACGGAGCAGGTCTCATGATGATGATATATTTGTTTTCCTTATACATTGGAGTCTCTGTTAAGCTTTCGGGTGTATAAATAGAAGACAGTTCTTGTATAATTCTTCTCTGGATAATCACTTGTTTCGGCTTAGCCTTTGTATGGGGAATTGAAAGGTATTCACAATATACAATTGTAGTGTTAATACTCAACTCTGGGGTTTTTTTAATTTTGAGTGGAGATTGAAAACCCAGAAATCAAAATTTGGATTTTTTACGAATTTTGATTCGAATCTTCTGATTTGTATTGTCTTAGAAAAACCCGCTTGATGGGATATATGGAATATGGATTGTCTGTCTCAAGCTTGTTTTTCGTTCGATCGTTTTGTGCGTTGAGATGTCTCATGGACAATTTACAGTACTATTTCTTGGAGTGAGTTAGTTTAGTTTTCTGTTAAGCAACAGGGCATGGCATGCAATGCAGTTGTTCAGAAATTTGTAGTCCTACAAGGAGTTCAAGATAGGTTCTTCCGACTTGATCTCTACAATTGGAACATTGGTCCATTGTGTTGTTTCTTACTTTCCTGTAATTTGCTTTGACGTCGTAATATGCTAGTGAGGCATGACAGCAGGCAGAGCTGTTGGCATAATACCCCCAATGGAACAGAACCTAATAAATTGTGACTACTTGCTTGGAATCTGCCTTTAAAGGTCTGCCTAAATAATTATGATAATTTGGGTATGCATCTTCTTATTTACTAGGTCCAATTTATGAGTTTGAATTTAAGGCACGGTTTGGAAATTTGGAATTAAAAGTTCATAAATTTGAATTTAGTGCTTGTTAGTTATAGAACATTAGTTTGAATGCAATTACCGTTTGGTGCTTGTTGGTTCTTTTTTCTGCTATATTTTAGACTTTTAGGAATTTAAGTTCTAAGCATTTTCTCGTTCCTTTTATGTCAACAGATTTAACAAGTGCTTTTGGTGTTGTTTAAACACTTTTTGGAGGATTCCTTTTCGTCTTTGTGTGTATAGAGTTGGTGAATAATGATGCCATTATACGGATACATGGATTCAAACCCCTACCAAAGAAACCAAACTTTCTCTTTCCCTCAGTATCATAATCCTTAGGAACTCATTTGTCATGGTTTTTTAATCCTCAGTAATTACTTAATAAGAAAACACTGAGGCTATTACATTCCTATCCATTTACACAGTATATTTGTTTATGGTTAGTACAGATGGATATTGATGAAGAGAACATTGAGGCCACGGAAATGTCAACAGTCAATCTAAGTGATACGCAAGGTACAACAAGTGCACCAAGTCCTTCAAAGAGAAAGGCTAAAGGTATGCGAGTAGGTAAGATACGTCAAAAGAGATCCCGTGTTTGGACTTTGTTTGAAGAATTGCCTGTTGGTCCTGATGATAAACAACATGCGAAGTGTAAAAACTGTGGGATAGTTTACGTATGTGATAGTAATTGTGGGACGAAAAACCTATTGAATCATATGGATACATGTAATAAAAAACATCACATTGATATGAAGAAATCTCAAGTTGGATTGCGTTCTCCTCAGTTTAACCATGTTAGTTTTTGTGAGCTATTGATTGAGGCTATAGTTAAGCATGATTTGCCTTTTAGGTTTGTTGAATATGAGGGCATTAGAACTTTGTTTAAATACATATCTCCTGATATCAAACTGCCGTGTAGAAATACAGTTAAGAAACATGTGTTGAGGATGTTTGAAGATGAAAAGATAAGACTTCGAGATTGGTTAAATACAGTTGATGGAAGAATTTGTTTGACATCTGACCTATGGTCTTCTGCTACAACTGATGGATATCTCACACTCACAGCTCACTTTGTTGACAAAGAATGGAAAATGCATAAAAGAATTTTAAATTTTTGTCATATGCCTCCTCCACATACGGGGGTTGCTTTGTCTGAAAAAATTAATGCCTTATTAGTTGAGTGGGGGATTGAAAAGAAACTGTTTTCCATTACTTTGGATAATGTCTCTGCAAATGATTGTTCTGTTGAGCTATTGAAGAAACAATTAAATTTTAGAGGCTTGTTATTAATGGATGGAAAGTTCTTTCATGTTCGTTGCTGTGCTCACATTCTAAACTTGATAGTCCAAGATGGACTAAAGGAAATTGATGGATCAGTGACTAAAAGTTCGTGAGTGCATCAAAATATATAAAGTGTTCAGAAGGGAGAAAAAATTAAGTTTTTTGCTTGCGTTGCACAAGTAGGGTTGGCAGGTAGTAAAAGAGGGTTGAGACAAGATGTGCCTACTAGATGGAATTCAACATATACAATGCTTGATAGTGCTATTTTCTATCGTCGTGCTTTTCTCAATTTGGCACTTGTTGATTCTAATTTTAGTTCATGTCCTTCCTTGGAAGAGTGGGATAAAATAGAGAAGATTTCCAATTTCTTGGGGTATTTTTATGAAGTTACTTGCTTATTTTCCGGAACAAATTACCCTACATCAAACTTGTTCTTCCCGAAAGTGTTCAAAGCTCATTATTGTATTAAAGATGCTATGGAAGATTGTGATGATTTCATGAGACGGATGGGGAGATATATGAATTTGAAGTTTGAAAAGTATTGGTCAGAGTATAGTTTGATCCTTGCCATTGCGGTGATTCTTGATCCTCGCTATAAATTGCAATTTGTAGAGTGGGGTTATGACAAACTCTATGGTAAGGAGTCAAGAGAGTTGAAGGATGTTAGTGGCACATTGTTTGCACTCTTTGGTAGTTACATGGACAAGTTCTCTCATCTTCTTGTATCCAACCCAGTTAATCAAACTCCTACTGAAATAAAAGTTGGAGACAAACTTTTTGAGGTAGTATTTATATTTTGTTATTCCTCTGTTTATACTTTTTATATGCATCTTTATATTGTACATTGATCCTTGTTTCTATTTTGTTTTTATATGTAGGAATTTTGATAATATTTATCAAGATGGGTCAACTTTAGTTGAAAAAACTGAATTAAATTTATATCTTGAAGAAAAGAGACTCGATAGAAAACAAGAGTTGGATATTCTTTCATGGTGGAAACCGGAGCAATTTCGTTATCCCGTACTTTCTCGTATGGCTTCTGATGTGTTAACAATTCCTATCTCAACCGTTGCCTCAGAATCAGCATTTAGTATTAGTGGTAGGGTGCTTGATCAATATCGAAGTTCTTTGTTGCCTGAAACTGTTCAAGCCTTGCTATGTACTAGAGATTGGCTTTTTGGCAAAGAAGGTAAATTTCATATTTCTTTGTATTTTTTTTGCTTATATAATAGGTTATAATTGTTTTTCCTTTTTTCTTTTTTCTTTTTATGTTTAGCTTTAGCGAAAGAAGGTGCTGACTTGGAAGAACTTACTGAAGAAATTTTTGACATGAGCCTTAATGAAAACTCGGGACAATGCTCCAGTAATATTAGTCTTGATTAAACATGGTATGTATTTTAACTTGTTCTTTTAAAGATATTTTTCTACTTAATCTGCATGTAATACTAGCTGAGAGACATTTTTCTACTTAATCTGCATGTAATACATAAAGGTGAATGTTGAAGGCAAAAAAGCATCAGAGGATGCAATACAAGAAGGTTGGCAAAAAAGCAGTAGAGGATGCAATGCAATAAGAAGAAAGAGAGCTAATTGAAAAACTTTTGTTTGGAACAAAGTGATACATGTGATGAAGAACAAAGTTTACGTATTGCTTGATGTGATTTCGTATTTACTTATATACAAAACTTTAGTATACGCTACGAATTAATTGATGTGTAAAACGTAAATTACATTGAGTTATATCAAACAATGAGTTAGTTGTAATTCGATATCAAACTTGCAATAGACGAGAATCAAATTTAAAAACTTTCTACTTTTGAAAATAAATATCACTGGACGGTAGCCGGATTAATGCTTTTGATTTAATTGCACAAAATGAGGAGCCAAACCAAACCGTCCATCACATTCCTGTTTCCCATCTCTTCCACCAAAACACTCTTCTTTAGCACTCGTCTCCTCTCTCTCTCCTCTCTTTCTCTCTCTTTTTTGTCACATAGGTTGTAATTGATTTGGATGAAATGTGTTTAAAATAATAAAAAAAAAAATAATAAAAAAAAAAAACATGAAACGGGTGAAACGGGTGACCCGTTAAGACCCGTTAGCTTAACGGGTCGGGTTTGGATGACCCGTTAGCTTAACGGGTTGGGTTTGGGTGACCCGTTAAATTAACGGGTCGGGTTCAACCCAACCCGAACCCAATAAACCCGACCCGTTTACAGGCCTAGGCTGAACCTCTCATTCACATTGATAAAGGAAAGGAGAATAACTTGTATGCGTTCGCATTGATAAAGAAAATGAGAATGACTTGTATGGGCCCGATAGTATCTCCCTATCCAAAAAAACTCGAAACCATTCCAGGGCCAGTCCAGCATGTAAAAGGGAGTCTGACTTGTATGGGCCGGGACACCACTGCGGCGGTGTACCGTACAAGTGCCATACAAGTATCTCTCTATAAAAGGGAGGCAATTTCCCAGGTATAAAAGTAAAGGTAACCCCAGAGCCCATATGCAAACAATCTGCTTTAAGAATAGACCACTAATGGTACATTTTGCAAAAGATTGGTGCATTTTAGATTAGCTAGACAAGAAAAATTAAATAATAAAGGTTTCTTTTCTAAGGGAATGTCTTGCTATTCATCCAATATTACTCATCATCCATTCGACTTCCTGCCTCATGTTGCTCTCCAAAGGCAACGAGTCTCCATTACCGAAGAAGGGTCTTTGTCTTTTCTTCATAGCAGCAGCGAGTGAACTCATATCCATTGGCAAAACAGGGCTTCCGGTTGATGTCAAGCAGCTATCAACAGAGCAGTTGCCGAGGTGAGCCATTACATTGGAGACATCTCTGTTCTCTAAAGCGGCAGCAATTTCCGACAATGAAGGGATTTTTGTGGAATCAAGTGGGACTATCCCTTCACAGTCATTGGAAACCCGAATAGCTAGTTCAGAGAGTTCCTCCTTAGCAGCTTCAACCCCAGCGGCTGTGGCAGCCTGGTCATTCAGAGCCTTACAAGCTTTCTCAAGTATAGACTGAAGATACTTGCTCTGTGCTTCAATTCGAAGTTGAAGACGACGCTGCACCTGCTTACAATATAACCATTAGAAATTGCCACTTAATAATCACAATGAATTTAGCGTAGTGCTTGAGAGGGGGGGGAGGGGGGGGGGGTGGTAACCAAGAATATATAATTATACTGGAGGGTCTAAGAGTGTTTTAGGTCAAGGTTGCAAATGGATTTATCTCGCAAGCATACAGGTAAAACCGTAAAACCATCAAGGCAATCTGAAATATTGTTCTTTGTTAACAAAAAAGGCTATTTTCTAAAGAGATGAATGTACATTCCAAGTCAACTCTGTCAGCTGGTGCTTAGTCATTAGTCCATCTATTGTACAGCTTTCTAATTGTATTTTTCTGTTTCATAGTTTAGTTAGTTTGTCACTAATTGCAATTAAGCTCTCAGCATATAAACCACGGTGTAATCATTATTTCATTATTGAGAAATACAGAAACTACATTTTCTCGCCAGGAGCTCCTGAGTTCTGACCTGTGGTTATATTTACAAGTTGATGTGGTACGTGCATGCCGTAAAAGAACTATACAATTGTTCAAGGTAATGAAAACCCCGTAAGCTGCAAATTAGTAGCTAAACAAGACACAAAAGAGACTAACCTCCAGCTGCTCATGCAGTCTCCGTTGGACTTCCATTTGTACTCGCAAAGCCTCAGTAACCTGGTAGCCACTGTTTCAAAAATGAAAAGCAACAATTACATGGACATATATAGATAGTAGAAGTAATTTGTGAAAAAGTAACAAGTGAAAGTTCAAATACTCATTCAAATCTTGCGCAATCACTCTTGATGAGACCGCCGAGGATGAACCAGTGTCCTGGCTTTCAGCTATACAAGAGGCTGCAATCCCTACATATTATTATGTAACTAATAAGTATTCCAAATGCAACAGCTTATCACCAGGAACTTTTGGCACACAAACTATACACTACTACTTCTACTTGAGCGATCAGAATGTGTAGTACAAATTCACCGGCAGATGTCATGGTTCACAGTTATGAATTTGATTATTCAGAGATTTATAATGATAGCACAGCACTCCAAGCAAATGAAAAAGTGGTGGCCCGTGCAGTTTATAACAAATGATTTATAATTTTCTTGCCTTCAAAAGGTCACGATACATCAGACCACACAATGGACAAGAGAAAGGAGATGTGAGATGCCAAGAGAGAAAAAGGAAAGGAAATCTTTGCACTGAATGTATTGAAACAACTTGCAGAAAATGTATGAAATGAAAATTGAAAATGGGCTCATTATGCTGGATAGTTTCAGGTAGCATTTGTGATTTTCCTGCACTTTAATATGGGATCATAAAAAAAGACACAGAAACAGTATAGGGTACTTAATAATACAATGTTCCAGGCTCTTCTATATTTTAAAGTGTTTGAGGTTAATACCATCCTTGGAGTTTTCAGCTGAATCTTTGCACGATAGCTTCCCCAATCGATATTTCTGCAATCATAGATCATCAATACAACAAAGAAAATTTGAAAACGGTATTTACGTAAGATTTCAAAAAAAAAAAAAAAAAAAAGAAGTTTATTAGGGTAAGAAGTACAGAGGCTATACTAATCAGTTAATTGGCCCTTTATGTCTAAACTACAAGTTCCCTCCCTCCCTCCTCCTTCATCTCCCTCTCTCTCTCTCTCTACAATTTCAGCTCTAGCTCACCACAAATTAGATAATGGGAAAGAAAAGCAAACCTGAAGATGAGATTTCAAGTGATAAAGGGTAAGGCCTTTGACTCCCATTGTTCTCATAATGGTCTTAGGTGTTGCTTCTGCAATTGAAAGCATTTAAAAACAGTATAATAAAAAAGCAAGCAACCCCAGGACACACAGCTTGTGACCAAACAATGACGAAACCAAGAAATGAAACATAAATTGGATGAAATGCACTCAAGGCTATACAGATTGACCTAACTCAAATTGAGCAACAAGAATGAAAAGCCTGAATATAAGCTGAACTCAGATATTTAATAAACAGTAAAAGTTTGGTCCATCTATGCCTTAGTCAAAAGAGACATTCGTGACAACCCTCTTAGTTGGGAAAGACGTGTGGACTGTGAATGAGGTGGCAATATCTCTCTTGAAAACTGATCATAAAAAGCACCGTACCAGTTTTCCATATTGAAGTGGTCTTCTGGTGAAGTCAGATTCCAAGTCTAATGGGAGTAGAGGAAGGAGCAGATATACAGGTGGGAGGTTTAGTAGGAATGGCGATCGCCACCATTCAAAATCATAATGCAGCTGAGAGCAAGATATACTAGAAGAAATCCGAGTAGTTTATTCTCAATGTTCTAAACATTGGAATAAAAACACTGCACTTCCATGAATTTTTAAGAATCTCGAGGACCTAATTAATGTTCTTAGAACTCTATACCAAAACACTATCAGAACCCAATTAATTATAACATTAAGCAATTGGATAATAGACGTGTAGATTAGTAAGTTGCAAGGCAGTTGAGTGAAAAGTTGAACTTCTGCGAACATTATGAATCTATGATGGTGTTAGAGAAAATAAGTAAGGTGCTATTGGAAGAAGGAATGAGAAAGCTCTGATCGAGGTGGAGATGAGAAGCAACCGAGGATGGTATTACTTCATTGTTAGAGATAGAAGTCGTGGACATGCCCCTATAATAAGGGTGCAAGAAAGGTGTGCTAAAGTCATACTCCTGATAGGTGTATGAAGTGGCAGTTGGAGATTTAGTCAAAGTGGAGATTTGTTAGGATATGACTCAAGGTAATGTTTGGGTTTAGTTTCCTATTAGGATCTCCTAGAGAGAATATATTGACTAAAACACATAAAGGAAGTTTCTTGCTCCTTAAGTAAGTTTTCCTGCAGCTAATTAGTTTAGGGTATTTCTCTAAGTCCATATCAAGGCCCTTAAGTGCGCCTAACAGTTTGCAAGATATTAGGAAGCAACGAGGGAGTGGGAGAAAATTGAGAGCTTGGGTGTACAGGGATTTGAGTTCAAGATTTATAGGTTGAGAGTTCCTTGCACTTGTTATCATGAAGAAAGTTTCCCAACCACTTAACTTTTTGTGTACTTTCTCTCTCCTCTTTTTCTTAAGTGGACATTACCACTGTGTAATTTATGTCATTTGTCATCCAAAATTCATTGGGAAAGCTCGTTAAATATCATGTCGCACCAAGCAATATGACGGATTACTGAAAATCATGAATACAATGACTAAAGTGATCAATCTAAGAATGATTTGAATGATACCTAACCTCGGTGAATATGAAAAAAATTGATTCCCAACACAGACGGGTAAGAACACCCCATAAATCACTCCAACTCAGCAATGACATAAAATTCATCAAATCATCCCACCAGCGTAACCGAAACATAGTCAATGGAAGGGAAGTAAATTTTCAAGTAAAAGTAGAATATTCCAACAAAATCTCTCTCCTTTAACAAAATAAAGACTACACAACCAATGAAACAAATTAAAAGCACGACAAAAACACAAAAACCCAATAATCAAATGACTATTCAGACCAACATTAAACACCCATAATTCACAAGTATAAAGCTTCAAGGCTGCACAACCAAACACATAAAGCTTTCAATAAACCAATATAATTTTAAAAAAAAATATTAATGCCCCCCTTAAAAAACCAAGAATTTCAATTACAAGAAAGTAAAGAAGCAAATACTCACTGTCAGGGCCACCAAGTTGAGTCACAGCATCCACAAACCTCTCATGGAGCTCCGCCGTCCACCGCAGCCGGGGCTTTGGATCCGTAGTCAGAACCAAGCAAGCATCACCGGGCAGGTTGGTACCATCCAACGACCCACCAAAGTCTCCATGCCCATCCAACGGCAGAGAATGGATAGCAGAGTACATTCTCAATCTTCTCCTGAAAAAAAAACCCACAAAATATTACTTCAAAAATCAAGCGAATTTGCGACCTGGAACTGCTTTCAGACTCGTTTGGAAAAATGGGTACCTGGGAATCGGGGCTCGGAGCCCCGAAAATGCAGAGAAGGGGAGCGGAGTTTGAGTGGGTTCCGAGGAATGGGGGTTGGAGTATGAGTGTGGGAGAGACGGAACAGAAGTAAACTAAGGCGTGCGCGGCTGAGCTGATGAGCTCAGCTTAGCTTTTGGACAGCGATGTCTTTGTTGTGTCTCTGTCTGTCTCTCTCCCCTCTCTCTGTCTCTCTCTCTCTCTTTCTGCTGCTTTCTTCTTTCCTTTGTATATTTGACTCTCTCTCTGTTTTGTCTCTGGAAATGGCTAAAATTGAGAGATGCAACCTGTAGTCCTTGTTTGGCATGTGATTCTTTTGTGCTTTTTATAGTTTTTGCTTTTTTTATTTTTTATTTTTTTTAATATGAATGCTATGATTTTATAAAAGTATGTGGTGGACATATGATGTCCATCTCATGGGTGCATCTCTTTGTTCATCTAATTATGAATAGAGTACTTAAATCTTGCAAATCCCAAAACTAGAATCGTGTTGTAGTTAATATTACTTAAAAGGGGTGATTGTGTAAAATTGCAAGGAAAAATAAGCAATTACATGCAATTGAGCTCCTTTCTTCTCTCTTGTCGTCTCTATCCTACCCTTATTTTCTAAATCTTCTTTCAACATATTATCAGCTTGAAGCGTGTCTGGAAGGAGAGTATCACTCTAAAACAGTGTTTAAGCAACCACCATCCAAGTATTTTCTATAGTTTATCTTTGTCAAAGTTGTATAAGCGTTTATGCATGTTAACCATACCATGAAAAATGAACCCTATTTTCAATTTCGAATTATATATTTTGTTATGTTTGCGATGGATTATTGTGATTTGAAATTGGGTTGCTTAAATAAATTGTGTGTGGAAAAGTAGGAAAAATTAGGGATTGAAACCCTTATCCCGAGCCACGCCGAGATGCTCGTCCAAAACCGAGACTAAACTGTCGTTTTGGTCTCCTTCTCAAATGGGTGTAAGATGTGAAGCTCCACCTAACTCTCAAGAACTTGAGAGCTACAATGAAAGCTAATAATACAAACAAAACTAACAAAAGCAAAACTAACAAAAGCACTTGCCATGATCTTCATTAGGAGTCATATGCATGATGCCCTACAAACAGAGTACCTCGTGAAAGATGACCCTCATGCTCTCTCTGACAAGCCATGATCGATCGTTTCACCCACTATGAGTTTATACACTTGCCATAGGTGAAGCACTATTGGCTTAATCTTCAATATAAGACTTTATGTTTGTGAACGAATATAATTATGGAATTTGTCAAATCTAATCCATACTCAAATTTTGTAATGAGGTATGAGTTTAAGTTCATGGAACTTTGAAAGTTCCTCATCCAATAATAATGTTAAAATCATATATATCCTCCTTCATCTTGAGCCTCTTTTGTATTAAATTGTTCTTATGTAGACGTGTTGCACATCTTCTATTTATTATACGAGATTAGGGATAAAAGAGAATTTCCCCTTGTTTAAAATCAAAGTTGCCATGTTCGTTGAGGAGCTAATCTCACTTAATTATCTAAATTGCATTAAAAAAACTAAAATTACTATTACATTGGTCCTTATTGCAATAATGCAAGTCATGTAACATGAAGATGCATATGATTGATGAGTTTGATCAATCACCAATTCCAACTGTCACCCAACCTACAACTTGTTGATGCTTACGGGTCAAGGCAAGTGGATCCGAGGTGTCTTTTCCCTCCTTGTCATCATCTTCTCTTATCCTATTCCTACCCACTTCGTCTCACACCCATGAATCTCATCGCTTGTTTTTTGGTATATTTTTTGACGTGCACCTCCATAAGCAGAAAGATAAACAGTCACATTTATATTAATGTCATACTACTGCATTAATGTGTTTTTTGGGTTTTATTTTTCAAAATCATCCTAAAATAATGTAAAATTAACTATCTTAAAAGCAGCTAACATAGCCAAATATGTCACTAGGATTACCATCTAGTTAGAGATGGTAAATCGACTTATTGAGTTGTTAATGAGTACCCATTAAAACGCATTTAGTTTGATTTTACCTTACACAATTATCACAACTACTAATCTCACCTCTATATCATGGTGATATTAAATTAAACGGGTCTTAATGGGTATTTATTAACAACTTAATGAGTTGATTTGCCACATCTATGTCCTTTAATAAATTATTAAATTATTAAAAAAAATTATATAAATTATTAAAAATTATAAAAAAATAACTAAAAATATAAAAAAAAATTATAATTTTTTATGTAAATAACTAACCATGTTCTTCCACTTTACACTACATTTCAATATTTTCAAATACTTCAACCAATCTTTTATATTATCCAAAATTAAAAAATAAAGTTATCTTTTATTATTTTATAAAATAATAAAATAATAATATTTTAATACAAATTGCCTGGGCTATTATTCAGTTCAGAGGTAGAGATGCACTTGGGCAATTACTGTTCATTGCAAGTAGTAACTGTTTATTTAAGAGAATTGAGTTGCCTATTGCCCAGGGAGCCTTCCTACACTGGAAGTGCTCTAAATGTTAGTTTCAGAAACATTTTTTCACCAAAATTGCTTTCTGTTATTTTTGAAGCACTTCCAAACAAGCTCTAAGTTAACATATTTCTATTTTGATAAAAGGTAGTCCCCAAAAGAGAAGCTACTTGAATAAATAAATCAAAGCAAATAAGCAAACATCCCCCTTTTATATTGTAAAGATTTGGTAAGACAACATGTTCTGGATTCTAAAGGTTTAAGGTAGGGTCGTCTATATCTCCAATACATTACAACATTAATATAATCCCATAACATGTTCTAACTAATTTTTCTTGGCAAGAATTAAATTAATTTTCTAACAAATAATATATAGCTAAACATGTATGAGTACTTTGCTATCATATAAGTTTATGAGGCCAGCAAAACAAGGGCGGCCAGTCTCAATCTGGACCCCTCCATTGTCCATGCACTTGTAGTAAGCTTACCTACCATTGATCGAAAATTTGGGAGATACATACAAATATCGGACAACAAGAAGATAACAATAAGCTTTCTAACAAAAATATCTTCTAAGTTTTTGGGGTTCTAAGAAGTTTATCAGTATCCTCTGATTTTTCTTGAGGACCTATATGCACTCAGTATCAACGTATATATTATTGTTAAAATTGATTCACGGTTTAAACTGAGCAACCGATGATCGTTACATTAAATTCAACTTCAACGTTAAACTCATGTGAATACTTAAAAAAAGGGCTTTTAGCATCAATAATTTATTTGTGGACAACGGTTGCACTTTGATCCCACTTTTAAAAAATTGTTCATTTTGTCAAATTTGTCTGTGAAAAGTCCATATTCCCTTCATTCCTAACGACACATAATGACACTCTCAAATCTATTTTCAGATCCATTCTTGCGATTGCTCTGCCTTGACTAATCAAATTTGAGAGCCTGGGACGCCATGGAAGTAGCTCGGTATGCTTCCGATTGCTCCACCTCTTAGGTCCATACATCTTCTTCTCCTCTCAATTATTCATTTTGCCAATTTAAAATTTGGTTGTGGATGAAAAAGGAGAGGGTCCTTGAATGAATTATTGTGGTGTGGTGGTTTGAAATTAGGAAAGTGTACCATTGGAGTCTGGTTCAAAATCATAAAAGGGGGAGTATTGTTAGGGCGTCATCTGATTGTTATTGTGGTTATGTTGGTTCCAAATCATAAAAGAGGGAGTATCGTTGAAATGTCGTTGTAGTAGTGTCATCAGATTGTTGTTGTTGTGGTGGTTCAAAATCCTAGAATTTTGGATTAAATCAAATTGAAATGCAAGTCCTTTTTGGTTAAATGGGGTTCTTTGAAAATGGGTTTTTTGTTGTTTATATAATTGTTGGAGTGTAGTTGTAGCGTCGTAGTGGTGTTGTTATATTTCAACGGTGGTTCAACATCGAAATGGGGGGTGTGGTGGGATTTTTGCCTTCTTTATGATTTAACGAAGGACAAAGGAGCTCCATCATCAAAGCACTAAATGTGGATAAGGGAGATAGCTAGTGTTTTAGATATGTCATCGTCACCGCCTCCATGCATGGCTGGAATTGAAGATCCAGTATGGTCGGAACAAGTTGAATTTGTACGATGAAGATTGCGATCGGTTCATGGTACAATTCGAGAATATCTTCTTTATGCAAACTTGTGATATTTGATGTACGATCCACATGGTTATTCATCTTTATGTTTTCTATTGTGTTAATATGTGGTGTCTGAATGTTTTGAGTCCCCTTTTGTGCATTGTGTCTCTGTTTTTTACAGCTTGGAACGACACTTACGGATGTTTCGTCACCACCCTTAGGACGCAAGGGAATTATCAGGTTGGCTCCTCTCACCACTTACATATACGCAAGGGAGTTTAGAGAGATTATTTGAGACCTACATCAGTACCACGAGGAGTATCGACTTGCTTTCAATGTGCACGGGGAGGGTCGGATGACGGTGCATTAGTTTGGCCTCTATACCATCTCCAATCTGTGGGGATAAAGCTTAAAGTTTTAAGCCAGAAAATTTTAAACCATGAGCCAGAAAGAAACTACTTTTCTCCTCCCACTCTTGTAGTTTAAAATTTTAGTCAGCGATGATTAAATAATGATTTTAGCCTATCTTTTTGTTTTCGGTAATTTTTTTTGAAAATAAAATTTATGTAGATTATCTTAATTTATTTTTATGAACATTTTAGTCTAAAAATATTTAAATTATGATAAGTAGTTAAAAATCATACAAATACATAGGTATTTATAAAGTTTTAAATTAAATTTGATTTAAATAATTTTCTTAAATAATTTTAGACGACGACTTAATTTTGAGCCGTCAAATCTTTTTTTTAATATTAAATTTGATCTCATTTGATCATAGCCGTTAGATTATAAGTAAAAAACAAAAAAAAGGTTTGAAATATGACAGTTTGGTGGATCCATAATAATTTAAGCCAAACTTAAATTCTGGAGGGAATCTAGCCCAGAAATATATTTTCTCCCCAGGGCTTATTTTAACCCATGGTTGGAGATGGTTTGGGTGGTTTTAAAAATTATATTTTAAACTTTATTTCATGGGTTGGAGATGATCCAAGAGAAGTGCCAACTTTTCAGATGGACGGAAGGGTCCCAATTCTCTACAAAGGGATAGGTGGATGAATGTAATGTGCAACCGAAATATTTGTATTGATATTGGGTGTTGTAATCTTGATTATGGGATTTTTCGTCTTATAAAATATAAAATTTTGTTTCGTGGATGACAAATTCATCCATATGCATAAGCTGTATGCTAATATGCAATCGAACATCTTAATTCACTCAATCATAGAATGAACGAACTGTGATAATTAAGTACATAATTTGTCGTCCATGTAAGTAAAAACTTGTAAACTCAAAATTCCAACTTACACGTGAAAAGAAATACAACTAAATCCTAGTGCTAGTTGCATGGATGAACGTAACTCGACCAAAATGATAGTTTCAAAAATGTGAGGCAGCATTTGTCATTTGTGAATTGTCAATAAACCCACACGGTTGCGGTATTGCGTTTTATACCCCCAAGCCCAAACTCCCATCGCCCTGGAGGTTTAAGGGTTTAAGCGGACCTCCCCAAAAACCATCACCTGGTTATGATGCTGCGTCGCGCCCTTCATGCCCAAAGGCTTCCTCTGCTCTTCCACAATCGTCCCAGAGGTACTCTCTCTCTTTCTCTCTCTCTCTCTCTCTCTCTCTCTCTCTCTCTCTCTAAACTTTGCGTCTCTCTAAGTAACACAGTAAAGTGAATGTCTCTGCAGTGAAGCCATGTGAGCTGTGGGCATCTCCATTTGAAGCCCCTTTCTCCACTAACGTTGTCGGTGACAAACCGATTCTGGTAAGGCAATCATTCACAATCTGCGTCATTTTTTCGATGTATAATCTCTACATTATGCAATTCAAGTTAATGGGTATGGGTCTGCTGCTGTGATAAAAAAGTTTATGAATTCAATTGGGCAGGTTCGTGATTTCATTCATTCGGCATTATATGATCCGAAACATGGGTATTTCTCTCAAAGATCGAAATCAGTTGGGGTGCTTCAGAGAGCAATTAAGTTCAATCAGCTTGAAGGTATCTAAGCTACCCTTAATTTTGTATCAGACTTTGATTTTGTTTTTCTATTTTTTTTGCCTAGTTTATGTGTTTTATTTGTAGACTCATGTCATAATTCAGAGACTTAAAGCACGTCGGTCATTATATCTGAATGAATTTGTAAAATTTTTAGTGGGTTTGAATCTTTGTGATTATGCATGAATTATGCTGGAAGAATGATAATGGGAAGGAATGTGTATTGGGGCTGTATTCGACCTAACGATATTTCTAAATAGGTGTGATTAGAAGAAGCTGTATTTCAATTGAAGAGGATTAGAGTTGGGTGAATTAAACAGGAAACATAATTTTGGAATTTCTAACCATCAAATTACCCAAATGCCTATTAACCGTTTCTCTAATATTTTGTAATGCTTTGTATGATATAAGTTCCATCATGAGTGCAATGTTAGATGAACGCGTGTGTATTTGAATTGAGTATGTTGAGATGGACGCATGGAAGATAAGATTTCGAGGTTGTAATAGTAGTAGCACAAAGGACAACATGAGGAAAGGCACTTCCACTGAAATATACTATGAGCTTGTTAGGTATTTTATTTGGAATTTAAAGGTGCTATTGAAACATGAGGTCGAAATACTAATTTCAGTGTAGGTGGTGTAAACATCTTGGCTGCCTGTATCTTTCTTTGGTATTTAGTTCTCGACAGACTCAACAGAGATTTATGTGGCCATCCTCAAGCAGTTGAGTTCAGAGCTCTTTGAGTTTTCTAGGTTTAAATAGTTATCAACCTATTCTTTAGTATTGGACATACTTGCTAATCTAAATTGGCTGAAAAGGTGGGCAAGAAATATCATTTGCCCAAATATGACTTGCAATAATATAAATAGAAAGTGCAGATTGGTAAAAAGTATATTACTTGTTTCACCTGTTTGACTAAATTTGTCATATACTTGGTCTGAAATTGTACCTGAATTGACACTCAAATACTTGGTAAAAAATATATTCCTATAAATAATCTTTTATTTTCCCAATTTCTGAAATGAATAGAATTTTCATTATTGGATTGAATGATACTATCATAAATAACACGTGTTTACAAATAATATAAAGCAATAGTCTTTGGAGGATTAGGATCAATTACATATCAGCCGATGAAAGGTGCTCCAGCCCTTATGGAAAAATAGATAGAACCGTTCTTTCTTTGCAGTTATGATAAGTAAGTCTATTAGTACGCAACACTCGTTTTTCATGCAGAACCTTTCCCCTTTATCTAATAATAAGGTAAGCTTGCTTGTGTTACTATCCCTTGTAGATTGCATACATATTGAAATCTTTGATATTACAGGTAGGAAAGCTTATATGAAATACTTGGAGAAAATTTACAAGGAAAGTGATGTATCTTGGTTTACTCCTGTGGAAATTTTTAAGGTAATCTCTCTCTCTCTCTCTCTCTCTCTCTCTCTTCTTGCTCTGCTTTCTGCATTCAAAATCCCAAATCCTAATTTTTAAGGTAACCACAAGTAATCTTCGATAGTGCTTTATATCTTCCCAGTTCCCACCCAAGCTGCACTCAGATTGGCATTTTTCTTTTTCATTAAATGCATGGCTTTGCAATTTCAAAATTTCACTTTCCTTGTAGCCTTGGTATGCGCATGGGATTGCTGAAGCCATAATGCGTACCGCTAACCTTTCAGTTCCTCTAAAGGTAAGGTTCCTCTTCTTAGTTATCAGCCGGTGGACCTATCAGTGGAGAATTTTCTTTTGATGTCAGATTGAATGTTTATTGTGAAATCTATAATTTCTGTGTATTCCTGAGAGTCTATTTTCTTTACTCCCGGCCTCTCAACTTGAAAAGATTGATGATATCTCAGATGAAAGGGAAGCTAAGTGAGGCTATATCCTCAATGCTGCCTAGTCAACTCTTTACTACAGGAATAGAAATCGAGTGATAACTTTTCCTTTTGGCTGGATGTGATAAGTTGCAAAATTTTTCCAAACTTAAATCATGAGTTTATTAATCCAATGTTTTATAAATAACCGGCTAGAATTAGTAATTTCAATAAAAGACACAGGGATTCTATCAGTTTCTGAATTACAAGATGAAGTCCCATTAATGCTTATAGTTTTCAATCTAGCATTGCAGGAAGGACATAGTAATTTGCTTGCAACTTATACAGTTTAAATTTTTTTGTTATGTTTCTAGGTGGCAGATCTTTGATTTTTTATTTTATTTTTTTTCATATATGTTACTCTTATTTTGGTGATAAATTAATCATTCCCTCAAATATTTTACATATGCATCCACTTGCCTAATACATGAAGGGTACAATTTAATATGTCATTTTGTAATGTGCACTCAGATATATGAAATTGGTGGTGGATCAGGAACTTGTGCAAAGGGAATCATGGATTACATCATGCTGAATGCACCCCCAAGAGTTTACAACAATATGACCTACATGTATGTCATTGATGATCATTTTTACCAATTTAATATGGTACTAGTTGAGTGAGTTTTTCAATCCTCATTGATGCGTTTGTGTATTTTTTGCTGACCATAATCATTTAAAACTATAGCTCAGTTGAAGTCAGTCCCTCGCTGGCTGAGATACAACGAGAAACTGTTGGAGAAGTCCGTAGTCACTTATCAAAGTTTCGAGTAGAATGTCGTGATGCTACCGACCAGAGTGGATGGGGTATGGTGTCTTTGGCTTTTGACATTTTATTGTCTTCAGTTTGTCCTGTATTGAACTAAGCATTCTCTATATTTAAATATCTGTACTTTGATCATTATGTAGTGTTGCATGATATAAACATTTAATATGCCATTGCGAGACCCATCAAAGGAGTAGTTCCCTGACTAGAAGTTACTTTACCATATTATGAATTCAATTGTTTCAATAAACTCCCCAAAACTCTTCCTTTCTCGACTACTAATAATTTTCCTGGAATCATCATCTCTGGATGTCATTTATCATTAGGGCTTGCTCATCGTATCCCAAAGATTTCTTGTTTGATGATAATTCTACTATGTGCAGACTTGCAGAGTGCAGCTGTTCTGTGATGCTAATTTTCATATGTGTTTGATTATTTGATAGGAGATGTGGAGCACCAACCGTGTTGGGTAATAATGCTTGAGGTACGTTCTGTCCTCGATTGACTTTATTATGCCTTAGCTCAGTAATTATGCTTTAGAATAGTAGGATATAGTAGATAATTTGAAATAGTTTCTCCGAAGTTCATTGGTTTTCATTTTAACATGTTTAATGGTATGACTAGTTTGATGCATGCAATGTGATTATTGTCAAACATGAAGCAATGTGAATGGACATCTGAAATCAAAAGTTGTTGCTAATAAGATTACTAAGCAGTATCTATCATCTACCTTCAAGTTAATCTTTTATAACATGAGGACTATTTCCTTGCTTTCTGTCTCACGTACAGGGGACATAATATACCATTATGTATTGATGTAAAGACTTCTACCTTGACATTGATATATGAACCCGATATCTTTTAATGAGGACCTTTCTTAACTGCTGATATCTCTTATGGATGGGCTTTCTCATTTGCCTGCACAAACCACTAATGATATAGTGATTGCGGAAATTTGTTTTCCCTCTCTATTACTTGCACTAATAACGACAGTGAGTAATATTATTGGACGCTAGGGACTCTTATGTGGAAGTTTCAATAGTTTCTCAGTAGGCTAGTTTCAGTAAATGAACTTATGGTCCAACAATCTATCAATTGTGTCTCTTCATATTTACAGGTACTTGACAATCTTCCGCATGATCTTATCTATTCTGAAAATCAAGTTTCACCATGGATGGAAGTATGGGTAGAGAAACAACAGGATAGGTAAGCAACATCTTGCAGATCCTTAAAATCTGGCTGTATTTCTATCGAAAGTTAGTCAACCAAATAAGTAAGAATCTCTTTCGCAACAGCTTTGTTCAAGTGATTGTTAGTCTGGACTTAATCTCTGAAGTTTTTTACTTTTTTGTGCAATGGAATATACATGGCTCTCTGTATTATATATTCCGTTATAGTTTATTTCAATTACTCACTCCAGTCTGAAGGGAAGTTAAGTCGATGCAGAACTGGTTACTTAATTTAGAATTTAGGAAGGTGTTCCAGAAGAGAACTAGAATTAGGATTCAAGATAAGTGAAATAGAAGGAACAAGAAGACTGAGAAGAAACTGATAGACCAAAGAGAAACCTAGAATAGAATGGGAGATCAGGAAATAATCAAGTCCGTCTAAATTGAATTGCAAAGCACACGTTTATAATAACCTAATCTTGCAGTAAACAGGAAATAATCCTAAATCTACTAGGAACAGGAAAGTAATCTTAACTCAATTAAAATCAGGAAGCAAAAAAATATTGGAAACTGAATAAAAATATTCTTAAGATATTGTTATGCATCATAAGTCACTTGCGATACTTAGTTTATTTTGTTTCCAACGCAAGTAATTGAATATCTTTGCAACTATACCAATGAGTTAAAGAGGATGCTCCCAATACAGTATGTGAAAGGAAATATTAGAGATTTTAGGCATGGGATTTGAAGTTTGACTAAGTATCCAGCACAACATATCAATATACATGGCATAAATAACATTGGAAGCATAGATAGGTCGTTAGTCAAGTTAAATCTCCTTCGAGATTGCATAGCTGATAGGTCTAGTTCTATTGTGTCTAGTGTATTTAAAACAAAGATGAAGGTTTGAGGAATTATACCTTTGGATCAAGCTTGTAGACCCACCCAAGTCCTTTCCCAAGTTCTCTCCCAAGTTCTCTCCCAAGTTTGCACCTTCCTAGTAGGATCTTCCACCTTTTGTTCATCTTAGCCAACCAAGGAGATGGGCTCCAATTCTCCACACCTCTAAGAATGAGATGAAGGATGTATGAGCCTAGAAGAGGAAAAGGGACTAGTGTCCTCCTCAATTAAGTGGCCGGCCGTATTAGTGTTTAGAGAAGGGTTTAGGTGTTGGGTTTTTACGGCTCAAAATTAGGATGATGCAAAGAATTAGGTTTGTGTTACCTATTTGGTTTTGGTGTCTTATTTGGTTTTGGATTTTGACTTCTTAGTTGGTTTCCTTGGTGGAGAGATTTTGTTAATTACCTATTTGATTAGGATTTGGATTTACTTCTTATTAGGATTCTTATTGTAACCTAAGTCCTATGCACTATAAATAGGACCTTAGGGTTAGTGTATTTTGTGTGGCTCATTCGTGTGGCAATTTAGTGAGTCAATTTGTGAGTTTGTGAGTTAGAGAGCAATTTGAAAGAATCTTCTCTGTTAGTTTTGGGGTTCTCTACTCGTTTGGTTTAGGGTTTGTAATTTGTGGGATTTGGGTTGTGAGAGTTTAAACACTCTTTTGTAATCTCCGTTTGTTTAGTGAAATTCATTGCTGTGCTTCACCCGTGGAGTAGGCATTATGTCGAACCGCGTAAATCTCTTGTATTAGTTTGAGATTGTTTGTTTTAGCTTTCACCTACGACATTGATATTTGGTACTTTGTTATAATTTTGTTCCGTTTGCGCATAAAAGTACAACAAGTGGTATCAGAGCCCAGGTTTCGGCTTGGGCTTTGCTTGGCAGTCACTATGAAGCCTTCTGTGTCGTCGGTGAGAGTTGATATTGAAAATTAAACGGCAATGACTTTGGTATTTGGCAATTGAAGATGCGTGCTTTGTTAGTTCAACAAGGGCTTTTAAAAACGCTAAAGGGTGTGAAGGCTTTGCCGAATTCGTGGACTGATGAAGAAAAAGAAGACGTTATGGAGCGGGCACTTGGAGCAATCCTGCTGACTTTATCGAATGAAGTCTTGCGTGAAGTTGGTAGCATCAAATCTACACCGGAGTTGTGGCAAAAATTGGAGAGCTTGTATATGACCGAATCCCTTGCTAAACGGTTGTATTTGAAGAAAAGTTTGCATACTCTTCGTATGGATGAAGGTACGTCAATTCATAAGCATGTTGATGAATTCAATAAACTTATGATGGATTTGAAAAGTGTGGACGACCAAATTAGTGATGAAGATTATGTGATAACTTTGTTGTGTTCTTTATCTCCTTTGTACGAACACTTTGTCGATTCCATGCTATTTGGTAGAGAAAGTCTTAGTTTGGAAGATATTAAAGCCGCTTTGAATTCTAAAGAACTAAAGAATAAAGTGTTTGACACACAAGATGGAGCTTTGGTAGTTCAAGGAAGGAATAAGGAAAGGAGCAAACTTGGAAAGAACACTTGTAGCTATTGTTATAAGGAAGGCTATTGGAAAGTCGATTGCCCTAAACTCAAGGGCAAAAAGAAGCCGTTTGATAAGTCTTTTGCTAGTGTTGATGCAAACATTGCAGAAGGTCATTGTTCTGAACTCCTCTAAAGGTTATGTGAGGAGGTGAAGCTTGGTACTCAAGCTCTTTGGGTGGAGTGCAATTCACACTTTTTTGTTCGTATGTTCAAGCCTTTGCTTGGATTTTGTTTCGTATTTGTTAGTTTCCATAATGGAATTTGTTGGAGAAGGCGTTGGAGGAAATTTCAAGTTTGAAGACTTTTGGATTTTTTGATTCTAGGTGGAGATCAGTTTCGAAAGAATTTGGTGCACGTTTGCGTTTGTATTTTGGTATCCCAAATTTGAAGTTTGTATTTGATTTGGAAGTTTGCTAATTTCTCGTCGAGGTGGAGATTGTTGGGTTTTTACGGCTCAAAATTAGGATGATGCAAAGAATTAGGTTTGTGTTACCTATTTGGTTTTGGTGTCCTATTTGGGTTTGAATTTTGACTTTTTAGTTGGTTTCCTTGGTGGAGAGATTTGTTAATTACCTATTTGATTAGGATTTGGATTTACTTCCTATTAGGATTCTTATTATAACCTAAGTCCTATGCACTATAAATAGGACCTTAGGGTTAGTGTATTTTGTGTAGCAATTTAGTGAGAGTCAATTTGTGAGTTTGTGAGTTAGAGAGCAATTTGGGAGAATCTTCTTCGTTAGTTTTGGGGTTCTCTACTCGTTTGGTTTAGGGTTTGTAATTTGTGGAATTTGGGTTGTGAGAGTTTAAACACTCTTTTGTAATCTCCGTTTGTTTAGTGAAATTCCTTGCCATGCTTCACCCGTGGAGTAGGCTTTATGCCGAACCACGTAAATCTCGTTTTAGTTTGAGATTGTTTGTTTTAGTTTTCACCTACGACATTGATATTTGGTACTTTGTTATAATTCGCTTCCGTTTGCGCATAAAAGTACAACATTAGGCTCTCTCTCTCTCTCTCTAGAACCGACCATGTATAGAGATTGGGCCCTTTCGGCCTAATGCCACTTATTTCATCCTATGTCATAAGTTAAGCCCAATGGGTTTGGGCCCAATTGGCCCGGAAAGCCTGAAGAAGAAGGTCTCAATGGTCTAACTTCTTTAGATTACTTCTTCCGTTATTCCGTTGTCCAAGGACTTAATTAGACATATTATGATTAACAGTCTTAGCTAGTGATCTTGCCCATTGATTAGATCGGATTTTACTAATCATTTGCATTATCCTGAAAGATGTCATCTTATGATTGACTTTCAGGGCATACTTCCACAGTATGTGAGAATATACAATATCAGGATTAGAGGTGACTGTATTTCTGCTAAAGTATATTTTGAAATCAGCTTCTATAGCAACTGAAATACATTTCTACTCCATCATGTCTTTTATTGAACTGTTCACTGTGGGAGCAGGATCTCAGTTTCACTGATTAAGGTTTTGGCTATTAATAGGGAAACACCGTCTGAATTGTACAAGCCATTGCAAGACTCATTAATTAAGAGATGTCTGGAGATCATCGATTTAGACAAAAAACATGATTCTCAGAGCAGTACAATACTAAAAGCAAAAGGCGTTTGGTCTAAAGTCTTTCCAAAACCTCGAAGATGTTGGCTACCAACTGGTTGCTTGGTGAGGAATTGTAGGCATTTTATTTTATTTATTTTATTACCCAACAAGTTTGTGGCAATGATGTTGTCTTTGAACGTCCAGAAACTGCTTGAAGTTTTACACGGAGTGCTACCAAAGATGTCTTTAATTGCTTCAGACTTTAGTTACTTACCTGATGTAAAAATACTTGGTGAAAGTGCTCCATTGGTTTCAACCAAGGTATAACAACTGAACATTTCCATAGTTATTATGTTGTTTGACACTTCGTCATAACGTCCTATACTAGTTTGTCATTTTGATCCTTTTTATGTACAGAAAGATGGCAGCAGCTCGGATTATAACAGTTATCTGGATGCAAGGGTATGTATAATTCTGATTTCATTTTGACATGTCATGGTTGTAGACCATAATAAAGGGTCACGGTTGTAAACCATAATAAAGGGGTCTAGTTGTACGAATTGCCATAAATGGCCTCGGATATTCTGCTATGGTGTGTTGGATGAGGAATTTACAAGTACTGAGGGATTTAGGCTGAATTAGTTAGAAATGCAGTACAAGGCATTACGAGAGGGGTTTGAAATGACTAAGATGCAATGCACTTGGAGAATAATGCAAATGACTACTTAAAAGGAGTAACTTGGGAATCCTTTGTGTAGTGGCTTCGTAATGCTCGTGTAGTGCATTTTCAATCCTTCTATCTAATGTTTTGTAGTGCATTCTAATTAGTATAGCCAAAATCCTTTGGTACCTTATCCAAACACTTTACTATTAGGAATGCTGCTGCCGCTACTACTACTACTCAAGTTCTAAAGGTAACCAGCTTTTTATGAAGCAAAATCTAATTACTTCGGTTTGTTTGCAGGGAGATGCTGATATATTTTTCCCCACTGAATTTTGGCTTTTGGAACGTATTGACCATTACTGTTCTGGATGGCTGAAAATTCAGAAAGATAAGTCGTCCAAGGAAGGGAAGAAGAGGCGAGCAATTACTGTGAGTTCAATTCTAATTTTCATGTGGAGCCATCGTTTCTGGAAGCTATAAGATAAATTACAATTCATGAGGACACAAACTCATTTGGTCCTAGGTAAATATATATGGTTTAGGGATCAGGGCAATCAAGTTTCCCTTCACATATCAATGTTCAATTATTGAGAAAGTGCATGTGGTTACCTAAATCCTGGCAGGGATTTAACGGGATGTGGTGGACCATGGATAAACTTTTGATTCAAACTTTTTGAATCATGTATGAAAAAGAAGAAATATAAAAAGAACGTGTTGGAAATGGATAATTACTTTTGAGGAATTGTAAGACTTGTTCACTTATAGACATGCTATGCATCCTACTGCTGGATTTATAGTTACCTCTGTTCATATAAACAGCAATCTCAGTGCATTTATCTTAATCAAATTTACATAATGATGCAGCTTGATACGTCGTCATTCATGGAAGAGTTTGGCTTGCCCTCAAAGACAAGAACCAAGGACGGATACAATCCACTCTTGGATGACTTCAAGAATACGAAATTTTATCTCAGTGTTCCAACACATAATACCCAGTAGATGGATAGTTTCGGCGGCCACTTTGTTTACAAGAATGTACCTGGTCCTGAATGTTTGGAGTTGGTATCATTGTCTTTCTGCCCATCTGAGAGCAGCTTTGCTCACGAACCAGCAGGTCCTCTTTTACATGTAACTGTCTGCATTCTGCACGATCAGAGTTCCACAGGGGGTAGACTTTGAAGTCAGATTTGATGCTGTAACAAGCAATAAAGTTCAATGGTTCTCCGCTTCTGATAAATAGATATTTTACAAATCTTCGGTGAAGTAGTTAAAAAGATGATATCGCTTTTGCTCGAAGACGGATTCGATGCATTGTGTTTATGCTATTCATGCTGAATATCAGGAGAAATTCAAATATTTGGATCCTGAGGATCCCATGAAAGCTTGATAGTTCCCAGTTTTGTTCTATTTTTTATTTTCTTTCCCTATTTATTTTGTTTCAGTGCTGAAGATCAGAATAATCCCAAATTTGTTATCTTCTTTCAGCTTATGAACTATGTTGGTACCATATTATATTAGGCCTTGTTACTTGGGCTTCGAGACATTGAGCTCATGATTTATGTAAAAGGGGAGGAGCCCTTAGTCTATAAAATGGACTTCTCACCCTCACAATCCTCAGGCCTCACATCCCCAAATAGAGGCTCTCATATTCAGAGCAACCCTCCTACAAACAGAGAAACTCTCTCAAACTCTCTCTTTCTCTGGGGGACTCCCCCTCACACTTGTAATCCATACATTCATACAGAGAAATACAATCAACATCAGTGTGGACGTAACCCAAATATTGAGGTGAACCACGATACATCTTGTGTTCTTTACTTTTTTGCAGATTCACGGTCGGATTTACGTTGTTCCAAGACCCATCCGGTTTTGTGTATCAACATTTCCTTTTTACATAAATCATGGGCTCAATGTTTGGAAGCCTAAGTAATGAGGCCCAATATAATATGGTACCAACAGTAGTCCCCCAAGTCTTCAGTCAAGAGAGTCTGTTGGCTGGAGACTTCAAATTCAATCCATGTATGGGCCGAAGTGGCGGTTGTTCGGATGCAATCTTTGTATATCATGCACTGAAGCTTTGTAGCTGAAGCTTTGAAGCTGAAGCTTTTGTAAATAAAGCTTTGAAGCCGGAGCTTTCGTAAATGAAGCTTTCGAAGCTGGAGCTCTATAAATGAAGCTTTCGAAGCTAGAGCTATGTAAATGAAGCTTTCGAAGCTAGAGCTCTGTAAATAAAGCTTTCAAAGCTGGAGCTCTATAAATTAAGCTTTCGAAGCTAGAGCTCTTTTGGGAGGAGCCATTTTTACATAAATCATGGGCTCAATGTCTGAAAGCCCAAGTAACGAAGCTCAATATAATATGGTACCAACAAACTAACTTCACTGCAGTGTTACCACATTTGTTATTTTATGAATCTTCTTGGGTCTTCTTCACATCCTGCAACGTTGAACGATGATCTGAATCAGAAAAATTTCTCAATTCTCCATTTGAGGCTTCGACTCTCGCATAAAGATTGTTTCGGCACTTGTACAACATGAATAAGAAGAGGTCGAAACTTGACTTTAAAATAGAAGAAGGGGAATAAATCACTTCCAATTCCAAATGGGGACAAGCAAACAATTCTTTGAACATTGAACACATTTGACATGAAATTTCACGAGCAATCTTCGAAATGTTGGAATACAATGGAGAAATTGAGAGTGTTTTACAAGACATGCAGGCAATAACGCTTCTCCTGAAATTTAATTAAATAAAATTAAAGTAAAATGAATTTAGAATGGCTGGTCACTGAGCCATCCATCAGCATTAATAAATTCCAAGCTTGCAAACTGCTGCACTGTATCACTGCTAAGCTTCTTTTCCCAACTCACTCGCTTTGAAGTGTTGGCTCCTGGTCCATAGCACTCCTGCTCTGCGTACGTCAATTGCTCTCTGCATATCACATTAAGTTGTATACATTTAAGGATCAAAATAATGTTTGTCGGTAGTACTATAGTCTAGTGGTATTCTTTTTTATTTGTAAATATGATATCTCATTTTCGCTTCCTAAGAATGGTGAGTTGGACATATACCAAACTATGGCCGACTCACTGTGTGGTTCTGCTCAAATTTCCCCACTCGTAATATCTTTTGGTATTACCAAGGGGAAATGGGTTATGCAAAGCATGCATGATGATGTTTATTTGATTCAAATCTAAGTCAAACAGAAACATTACTTAGCACAAACTATTAAGGTATTTGTAATGTACAGATACATTATTTGGTGAACAAATTTAGTTACTTCGATGATTTGGAAGGATTACATTTATGAAAATGAAAGGATTGGTGAAATTTGATGTGACTAAAGGTAGTGTTAGTATAATAAGGGTGAGAGATCTTACTCGTGGCCAACCATATTCCAAGGAGCCCAGCCCTCAGGAACGACGACGTTTGAGAAATTGGAATTGTAGAATATGACCCTTGAGTAACCTCTCCATGGCCTTCCCAAGAAGGTTGAACCAGTACCAGTCACTTTGCAATCCTTGAACACAAACCCATTGGGATCCTTTGGGTTGTCTCTTCCCTGTGCTGTGATAAAACCCGCCACACCACGTCCCAAAGCTCCACCAAGAACTGATATGGAACATTTCTACACATGTTGAACATTAAAAAAAAAATCACTATTTAATGTTCTTTCAACAAAATAGTAATGACATATCGACAACGTATCATGTGCTATAGATTGTTATTTGATAAGCAGATGCTATGTATGTCATTTTTTTCATGAGTAACATTTTTTTCATGAGTAACTACAGACATTCAATGCCAACAATCGTTGACAATTGGATCAAATCCAAACGATCAAATATGTATCGTCATTGAGTGCCTTTATGTATTTAAGAAACATAGTGCTATGTGACCCAACTTTTTCACCAACGTATCCATAATTCTATGTATAGGTCATAAATTGGGTCCCTCAACAAGACTCTGTATTGTATAGTGTAGATGATTGTTAGCTATTGATGTGTGAATGCATGTTTCTGAAAATTGAAGTTTGAAATTAAGGGGTAACGTAATTAAAGTATGAAGTAACCTCAAAAATGGATTGGCCACTGCCGAGGATGAAATCGACCGCACCCTGGATGGTGCAAAGCTTATAGTAGTGACGACCACTAACATCCCACAAAGTGTCTTGCAACCCAAAGAAACCACATCGATAAAATTTCAACTTGTCACCGGCTACCATCGCCGCCACTGCCGGCATTTGAGGGTTGCTATTCACAGGGTTGTTGTATGAATTCTGCATATAATTATTAGAAAATTGAAGAAATCTAATTAAACAAAATTAATAGAACGAATTAGAGGGAATATATATAATTACCACAAAGGTGATGGATCTGGCAATGATATTATCAGCGAAAGAGGCGAAAGTAGGGCTTTGTGCAAGTGAGTCATGATCACCCCAAACAATCTGTGTTTGGCGCCTATTTTCTCCTTTGAGAATTATGTACGGCTTATCACTCGGGATAGTCACTTTTTCCCTGCAATATTATTCATATGATACACACAAAATTACAACAAGCCAAGAAATTTAGATAACGGGAAACGATTTCTACACATTTTTTTTATTCTTTTGTATGTACACTCTTGTTTATTTATGTGGTTATGTCCCTTGATTCTCCTTTAATTTGTTCCATCTAAATCCCACAGATTAACAATGGTGTGCTGATGAACGGAAAAAATGGTGTCGAAATCATTTTTCTTTTTTATAATTAGTGATTTTTAAAAGTTGGTGTGATGGCAAGTGCCTTCGTCCATGAGCGGTAGGTCTCGGGTTCGAGACTTGGGAGCAGCCTCTCCATAAATGGGGGTAAGGCTAGCCGACATTCACCTCTCCCAGACCCTGCGTAAAGCGGGAGCCTTGTGCACTGGGTACGACCTAGTGATTTTTAAAAGTTGAAAAAGAAAATGAAAATACCTATACGTGCCAGCCTTGATCTTGATAGAAACCCAGTGCCGGTTGTTTTTAGGAACAGCATTGATGGCAGATTGTATGGAGGTGAAATCGCCACGGCCGGATTTATCAACGGTGGTGGTGTAATAAGCAATCTTCTTATTGCCGTATACTCTATACAGTTGGGCATCTGCTTCTCCAAATAATCCAAGACCTACTAAAAGTAGGGCAACACACTGGAAAAACGACGACATCTTTGAGCCTAATTAAAATTAAATTGCAGAAAATCAACAGTATATATATAAAGCTCGTGTATATTCTGTGTGTGTGTGTGTGTCTCTCTCTCTCTCTCTCTCTCTCTCTCTCTATATATATATATATATATATATATCTGGCTGTGTGGAGAAGAAGAGAGGGGAGAGCAGAACAGAAAAGAAATGGGGTTTTCAATGTTTGCTTGGTGCATTCATATGTTTGTATTTAAAGCATGCCATTGAGAGAGTGGGATTTGGAGGGAATGTGGGAAAGTCAAAGGTCTCTCAATAAAAGAATGTACCATAATGATCATAAATTTATTATTTGATTTTATTTCCTTTCCTACGTATTTTCTAAAGAATTATAAAGGGAAAAAAATGTATCTTCAGGCTACATCAAAGTGTGCGGAAGTAGGAACATGTTTTGTTGCAGAAATTAGAAGATCTAGAAAATCAACAAAAGAAGGTAACAAAAAAGTAACAACAACACCAACTAAGTCTTATTCTATTAAGTGAAATCTGCTGTATAAATTCTAAAATGTAGTTATATTTGGTTTTGCGCAAAGCCTTCCGTTAGCTCTAATACTCCATATATTTTCTTATAGTCTCTAGTCTTCCTAGGTCTTCCTCTATCCTTTTTGTCCTGAACCCTCCTCTTATAGTCGTATATTCTAATGAAAGCATCTGTAGGTCTTCGCTTCACGTGAAATGACAACTACTACACATTTTAATAAATGTAGGAACCGATTCTCACATATTTTTGTTGAAAGACCAAAGTTCCAATTAACTGTACAAACAAATATTACAAAATAGAAAGAAAATCAAAAGAATAATGCGCAAGTAAATCAAAAGAATAACAGTTTGCCTATATATAGAAAGAAAATAAAAATAAAATCTCATGATTTCAGATGCTGCTTATAGACATTTTAGGAGCAATTTTTTTTTTCTTCTAATGAGGTAGGCCTGCCATGCCATGTCCCATAATTAAAGATGGAAGATACTGCAATATATGATTGATATATTGACACAAATTGATTAGATTTGTTTAAGTAGCCTTCAAACATGTCACTTAGTACTACGGTCTAGTGATATTTCTCTTCAGTTGTATTAGGTTCGATTCTCGCCAAAAGCAAATTTGAACTACTTTATTACTAGCTCATTGTGAGACTAAGCCCACCTCTCATCCTTTTAGTGTAGATAATATCGTTTGTTCAAAAAGAAAATGAAAGCAAAAAAAAAAAGTAGCCTTCCAAACTTAGCATATTTTGTTTCCGGATTAAAATTTGCTCAAATGCAAACGTATTATTTGTATTAAGTGGGTTTGACTCATTTTTACAAACAAAATGCACTAATATCATCTAAATTATAAGATAAATATTCGAACTTAAGTGCAGAAATAACATATTACTCTAGCCAACTTAATTGAACCAATTCATGTCAGAAGAGACGCAAATGGAGTTGCGTATAGATCGGCTAGATATGGTTTAACAAGTTCACAAATGTTTAATTAGTTTGAATAACTACCTGATGTAGTTTTCAACTTACTTCTTGAGAATAGGTATAACTGATCTGTTTGGTGCACGTCCACTTTTTGTGATTGAAGCCCTCTCCATTTTATGTCGTGGGAGATTTGGATGCGATTTCTAACTACCAATGTTCTTTGATTGAAATCTTATTTATTTTTAGTGTTTGATCCAAGTCTCTGATTATTAGTATTATTGTATTTCCATGTCAGCTATTTTATTTTTAAACTTAAAATTGGATTTGTAGTTGCCTATATTAATGATATTTTAAATAAAATCCATGATTTTGGGATTAAAATTATTCAAAAATAAAAATTATACTCCCCACCTTATGGAAAGAAAATTCAAAATCAGTAGAAAATCATGTTTACATATAAAAATAACTATGGGTACATTCATTAAATCAACCCAAAAAAAATAATATACCACAATGCATTTGGTTGATTCTTCAAACCAAAAATGTGGGTACATTATTCAAAAAAATATAATAATAATAATTAATAGATATTATGCTTAATAAAATTAATAAATTTCTTCAAATACACTTTGCATGAATACATTTTCAAATCAACAAAAGAACATACACATGTAAGTATGATTGCATAAACAGAAGCAACTAAAAAATAATGTACCAATAATAATATATGGGGATATAAGTCATGGGATAGTGATTCATGAGTACAATTTTGAAATATGTAGGATGAGCGATAAAATAAAGTTGCAAACAAAAGTGAGCTTGAAAGAGAAAGACGAGACTTTCCCCTAGTGGATGACCTCGATTCTAAAGTTTTGTGGCATGCTAAATCCCATAGCGCAAGTGGTTTCTTTATAACAGTGGTGAGGAGAAGTGTTGTTTTGCACTACAACGTGGATTTGAGCTCCATTGATTCTCTAATCTAACATTTAATTTAATAAATCTATCATTTGATTAAAAAAAAATAAAAATAAAACCCCATAGCATATTTGGGCGATGAAGATAATCTTGTTTTTTTTAATATAAATAAAAATTAGATAATCTTGTTGATTAGTTAAGAAAAAGTCGTTCAAAATTTTGATAAACTTACCATAAACAACTTTCCAACAATTCTATAAATTAACGAATGAATAAGTATTATTTTCAATACCCAATAAAAATTGTTGTCGTGTAAAAGAAATTATGAGAAATGTTAAGAATACTCTTTCAAAAGTGGGACTCTCTATGGACATTTTATCCCCTCATGTTTTTTTCGCACAATGGTTCATAATATTGGCATAATAATTTACGTTAAACTGTGATGTGTTAGAAAATTCATGAAAAATCTCACTTTTGCAGGAGCTGCTTAGCATTTCTCAATATTTATTATGAAGTCTAATGTGAAAAAGTCAAGAATTTTGGTCACAAATTGAAAATTAGTAAGATTTTAGTCAATGCTCGTTATTAACTAGAGACCGAAACCTAATTTGTTTTTATTTTAATATGATAATATACATCGTGCTTTTCTTTAAAAAATTATGCACAAGTATGCTCTAACAAAATTCTTTGTGGCCATCAAAATTGAGGTTGAAAATCATTGAGTCCTTAAAATTTCCACCCTCTCAAGCAAAAACATCTGAGAAGGACATTTGGCTACTCTCCAAGTTTCTTCCTCAAATGAGTCGAACAATCTAGAATTTTTGTTATTTTGTAGGATGAAAACGCACTATATCAAAGTGTGGTAGGTAAGTTCTGAATAAATTTGGTAAACCAAGTTTTTGACCTTATAATTGTTGGTTGTGAGCCTTACCTGCCTAATTGAAGTGCTAATTGCTACAAATTTGTTAAAATAATATTAGTGTTTGAAAACTTTAGGACCATTTTCTTGTAAAATAAGTAATAGGTAATGCTAGGGAGATCATCAACTTAAACTATAATTTGTATATCATATGACGTGGTTTTTAATAATTAGATTATTACTTAGGGGCTTGTTTGGTGGGCTGTTTGTGATAGGTTATTATCAATTAAAATGGACTTGAGTCCAGTCTATTGTTTGTTGTGTCAAAATGTGTGATGGACATGAATGAACATGATACGTTATGAATTCACAATAGAAAGGGTTCTCTAACTTATCCTTATTCATAGGTTACAAGTCATGCCTTGCATATCTCTGCCAATTCAATCATTCCCTAAGGTCTGATCCCATCTAGTCCACAGCTCTCAATGTCAAGTAACGTGCTTATTTTTTTATTAATGACATATCATATAATTTATAAATTTGGTCTAAAACGTTTGTCGACCTAACACTACTCATAAATGATTATACAGTCGTTTTCTGTTATAATTTCAATAACTGCTCTCCATCCCTCCAAGGGTTCCATTTCTGTTATTTTCCCACCCTAGAAAAAGGATAAAAAAACTACTACTTAATGTCAAGTGTCAACCCTTGCTCGCATATTAAGGCCTCTAAACATATTCTTCTTTTTTAATAAGTGATGAAGTGAAGGATAACACGAAACAAAAATAAAAAAAATGAAAAACACACATCATTTTTAACTTCTCATGCATTTCATGTTCGGAATTTTTGTTTGATTTATTCAATAGTTTGTTTCCAATAGTGGAGCATGTACTCTACAAAAATTGTATGCGTGGAGCGAGGCTTCGCGTGTGGAAGAAAACCAAACTCCCAACAATCCTAAATATGGATGGAACTAAAAGATATGATCGTCAAACAACATATACCTAACTAAATCTGCAGGTTCTTCAAATCAAGTGCAACCAACTACCCTATGCTATTTTGTTTATTTTTTTAATTATGACATAAGGTTTTTATGTGAAAATAATTGAATTACAAAGTCATTGATTGTTGCTAAAATTAGATAACCAAAATTAACCTCATTAAGTCTCGAATTGTAGTGTTCGCAAGTACACAAATCATATGATAGTATTACTTTGAAGCATGGATATCGTCCCACATAGATCAAATTGATTCTAAAAATCTTACTAACTAAATTGAAACAATCATAATGGAGAAGCTTTAACAGAAAATATATGACATTTTGACTTAAAGTGAAATTAAATAAAACTTGAAAATAAAATGCATTAATAAATTGAAAACATAAGAAAAGAAGACCTAGGGCACTTGAATTCACCGTAACAAATTCTACTTAATTCCCTTAGTATGTTATGCCCAAGTAGTTCTCCGATATTGATGATCAATTTTCCTTAATTATTCAACAGCCATGACATCTGGTTGCATCAAAAGTATCCTTACATGTTAACCCTTTATGACATCTAGATGATTTTTTTATGGCATCTAGATGAATTTAAACAAGTAAGAACCCATTAAGCTCTATGGAAATCCTTAGAAAAAATCACACAAACCCTAATTGCATGACATCTACAAATAGGTGTTTATGGTATCAATTGCAAGAAGCTAACTCTAAGTTAAGTATGACATCTATAATCTATTATAACTTGTATCAAATCAACTTAACTAAAATTTAGATGGTGATCAAGCATCTAAACAAAAAACAAGAGCATTATGTATAGCAAAAGTTACTCAATAAAGAAGAAAACATGATGTTTGTACCATACTTGACCAATCCCGAAACTACTGAGCACCGGTCAACGTTATACCGTCAAGGACCCAGAAGAGTTTCCCTCCAACCAGGAGGCCAATCACAGCGCGACACATGTCGATATCAGAACCCAATCA